TTTCAATAACCGAGGAATGAAGCATGAAATTAATGCTAATTTCATTCTCAACAAATTGATTATTTCGTGAACTTTTACAGGATTACAATCTTCGAAGATTGTAATCATTAAATAAAATGAAAAGTATAAAGGTTAAACATTATAAGTTAAGAAAAAAAAGACAGCTACAAATGGAAATTTTGAAATAAAAAAAAAAGAAAAAGTCAATTAACATGTCCTAACATATTATATACATATCGTCAAGATGACATCGTGTCGAACAACTGCCAGATAAATAGTGTTGAAGACATTCATTCACTCATTCATTCATTCATTCATTCATTCATTCATTCATTCATTCATTCATTCGTTCAGTCAGTCAGTCAGTCAGTCAGTTAGTCATTCATTCCCTTTCCAACATGAATCGATTCTCACCATCCTCTCGGCCTTTCCTCCCTTCATCCTCTCCTAAACAAATTTACATTTTCGCAGCATTTGTAGGAATAATGAAGAGTAGAAGGAAGAGGAAAGAGGAGATATGACAAAGTAAGCGCAATAAATGTCGCTGGAATGAACCAAGGCGACAATTTGTTCCATTCAACCATCAAGTAGGTAAGCAGTAGTGGTGGTACATGTATACCTTGTGACACCTGTGCACTGCTGGGATAATTCACTCATTCATCCTTCCATCTCCAACAATGGCTATTTTTTGGTACTAATGTGAAATTGGTTTTTTACGCCTCATAACTCAATCATCGTTCATTTTTTGGTTGATTTATGTGATGTGAAGTATTTTTAAATGAAAAATTTCATCTAAAGTTAGGCTTTAATTTAGCTTAGTTTGAAAATTTTAGTTGAAATATATGTCCCCGCTGACAGTTGCTTTCTAGAAGCTCATCCTTTTCCGCATTTTTTTGCCACCAAATTGGACAGTAATTTATAGTGTCTATTGGTTCTTTTCTTTACAACTTTCTATCTTTTGTTTCACCTTCAGCCATTAGCGAATGCTTAATAAACATCTTTTTTTCTGATAGTTTAATAAGCTCTTTTTAGTTTCCATGAAAATATTATTGCGCAAATTTCCCAAAAGTAGCGTTATTTTGCTGATAAAATCTTCTTTCTAAGATTAAATTTGAATCATAGAAGATTTTATTAAATAATGACCATAGGATGAAATTCTTTGCCAACAAATACTGAGTGGTCAATTGATTAACATTTTGCTGTGTCAATCGCATCTGAACAAGTGTTGTCAAGCTTAGTTCTAGAAAGTGATTTATATGATCATAGTGGTGTATGGGTGACAGTTACAAGACAAACGAGATGAGTTTGTGAGAAAAGACTTAAGTCTCCTTTTGTGCTATCATTACTGTCAGGAGTAAATTTATGCTGAAATCCTCTCAACTTTTTCACCTTCCAACTCCAACAAATACGAACACTGCAATAATCTGATGTAATTATTTCTAATATTTCATGCGACCTGAAATGATAGCTTGAAATAATTATTTAACTAAGACGACAGGGCACACTTATAAATTAAACCAAATACATTTAATTTTGTTAAAAAATTTTATTTTTCCTACGAAAGAAATATTTAGAAAAAATATTTCACATTTTGGTAGAAAGAAATGTTTCACAATTTGATAGAAAGAAATATTTCACATTTCGAAATATTTCAAAATTACAGTTAATTAGATATACGGCGTTCTTGTCTCCAAATACGACTTGCGCCAAATTTTGTTGACAATGACAATGAAAAATATCAAAATTCCGCACGCATACCAAAAAATATGGATGGAACCATTTGAGCATGCATTTTAATATGCGATTAAAAGCGGATAAAATGGAACATAGGAAAGATTAATGTTTTAGTTGCATTGTGGTATAGCTGTTTCGAGCCAAAATGATGAATGCCATCATTTTGGTTTCGACATATTGATGACGTTGTGCTGCTGCATACTACCCCCTGTCCTGCACCTCTGAATTTTCTATATTTCATCCTCCTTCCAGGATATGTCTTGTCTTCTTCTTTGTGTCATTAATTACTCTTTGATTTAATTTAAATAACGAATTTGTCATTTTATATTTATTCATATTTTTAAGTTTAATTTCTTCTTTATATTCATTCTATTCTATTCCATTCTTCTTTGCGAACACCATTTGATCATCTTCCATTTTATCATAACAGGCAGAAATGGCTCGAAAAAATTTCGGGGAAAAGGAAATCGAACTAACAATGTGAAATTAATGCAAAATTGTATAGTTTGAATTTAAAATAGCGTGAAACCTTCGTTTGTAGATGGTTGTAAACATGAGATAAGCACTTCTCAAAGAAAACCTGTTCAACGGAGTATTATAAAGAGACCCCCACCGTATTACCGTCCCACCCTTCTAAATCATTGTCGTTTGTCACCATTGCTGTCGTTATTGAGTCGCATGCATCAAAAAGTCGTTTTTATTGGGGTAGAAACAATTTGTGAACCAAATTACCGCCTTAATTTAGCATATAAGAAAGAATTGGAATTGAAAAAGGTAGGAAGTTGAGAATTTTATAATTGATAAATAGGGGTTATAGTATTAAGGTAAAGAGAGAAATTGCTTCATTTTCTTGTTATCTGACAATCATATCACCATATCGGTAACATTCACATAAATATAAACAGTTTATGCTGAAACATCAAAAAAAGTGATTAGATGTAAAGAAAAACAACATTGTTTTTTTTTTTTCTATCATATCCGAGCATTTTCTATCATTTTTCTCACACCGGTATTTTTTTCTTTTTTTTTTGCGCAAATATTAGCAGCCACTAGCGTGATCATCCGTCTCTGTTCGGCGCCGTACGTCTACCAAACCTGGATTTTTCTTTTTAATGCAAAAATATTTTGTGGAAAAAAGTTAAAAATATTGTGGTACAAATTTCCGAAAATAACGCAAACTTGACATATTGTCTGAGTGTATTTGGAAAACTTTAAATAATCATACTGTCACTTTGATATTTTTACCAATGCATATATGTATGGCAGATAGCTAAATTATTATATCAACTAATGTATAAGCTTTAATGAACAAAGTAGCTTTTAGATGAGTTTTAGATTTATTCGTGCAGGAATACCAGGCTTTAATTGCATATTAAACATGTTTTAGGCTCATTTGATATGATCATTTTAGGCCCAGCATTTAGTTGCTTCATTCTAATATCATTGGACCTGTTCAAAAATCTTCGAACTTTTATCATAAAAGTATTTGGACAAAGGGATCTTACCAAATATCTTTTATCAATACATAATTTTAGCTCTTTCAAAATAAAAGGAAATTTTACTTCTTTCCTTGAAGAAATGAAATTCCCAGCCTAAATATGAAGTGAATTTTTCCGATATCAACCAAATGACAGGATATTAGTTTGGAAAGGTGACGCTACTGTTTGTGCACCTGTGATAGCTCTTTTTTCCAGTGTAGTTTGCCCTTTCCTGTTCACTTATACAAAGCCGTCAGGCTCTAAGATTTCCCACGTCATATCAGGAATGAAATTTGAAAAATCACGTAGATCCAGAAATTTCGGTTAGGTATCCAATCGCTAAATTGACTCTTCACGAAATGGCTCATTGACATGCCCTGAAATGTAACTTCCATTAATCCCGCTTTTTTTTCTCTCTCTAAGGATTTTCAATTTCTTTAAATTCCTCTCCAGAGATGAAGCAAATGCAATAACGGCAATATGAGCCACATTAACCACTAATTAATTAATTGTTAGAGGGAAAAAGTAAAAGAAAAAAGTGAAAACGACAAAAAGAAATTTCCTATTCAGGACATCATATTTTTAATCCATCAAATGTTATTAATAAATATTTCCCTCGGTTACGTTATTTTCTCACGAAGCTTCTGTAATTAGTCGATTGTCGAGGATTTTATATGATAGGATGTATCTCAAGGAAATATTCCGGAAGCTTTAAATTATATCAGAAATAATAAGAAAAGACAACATGGCATGGCTAGTTGATGACCATTATGCCTGCATGAAGAGTGGGCAGTAACTGTCAGAAGAAGTGTTGGTAAATCGGATATTACTACTTATCCACCACTTATGTACATGTTTAGCTCCATGACAAATACACTGTATTACATTAAAAAAGAGATGTATGTCTTTTTGAAGTGTATTTTATTTTCCCAAAATTTCCCGTTCCATTTATTCTTCTTGTCATATCTTTCTGTCCTTTATCTCTCCTTTACCCTTTCAAAACTTCTAATACAGTTTTTTCGCTTGGGAATTCCTCCTCTCCTATCTTGTGGTTTCTCTATTTCCATAATATACATTCTTGACAATATCCTATTTCCGGATAATAAGATATGGTTTTCATCGTATCATTTCATTCGAGAGCCCAGTCATGAAAACCGGAAAGTAATATCTCAGCATCAGGGAAAAAAAAAGATCGGTCAATTTCAAGGTTCAAAATACTGCTAGTAAGGTTTTGTCGTCTCTGGCTAACATCGTTCCACATACCAAAGGTTGCGCATTACTCGGATAGCAGGTAATTACAAATCTAAACTGTAGGTCAGAGGAGCGATGAGATATACCTTCAGTATTCATCGGCAATTATCGAGAGAAATGTTGAAATTATAGAAAAGTGAGGGATCATCTTTGATGATATTTTACTTTCATTTAAAAACAACAATATTAAACGCTATGTTAAATAAGAGTTGTTTTAATTAGTGAAAATTAAAGGGCTCATTTTAGATAAACAAAATAAATCGTGCTTTTTTTTTAAAAGAAAAGATCGTAATAATAAGCAGCTAAGAAATGAAATTCAAATGCAATGATATAATTACTATTAATTGTTTGCATTTACACAATGAATAACGAGACTTTTGCTGGAAGACTTAAAATCGGAAATTAAATTAGAACAAATTTGATCTGAGGAGACGAACTTTATTGGTAAAGTCAATCTCTTCGGCTAATTTACAAAGGTAAGGATGAGAAGAAGCGTGTTTACCTGTCGAAGAACAGACTTACCACAAACTCCTCCCTTCACTTTCTCGTCCATTGGATTATTTCAATAATGCAAGGCGGAGCATCTATCAGCTGCTTCTGACGATCCTGATCGACTATACACGAATATATATATATATATATGTGTGTGTGTGTGTGTGTGTATGTGTGTGTGTATGTGTGTATGTGTGTGTATGCTTGGGTGTACGGATGGATATCTGGACAACTTGTTCTGTTCAATGTTTGACTATAGGCATAGGAATAAGTGCATCGTGGCATTTTCACTACTCTTACTATATTCATTCAGGATTCCGACTTATTCCGTTTACTTTACACGTAAACACGTGACCGACTTCTTGCTATATGATTAAGCGATGACTCATACGTATCGTATCTATTTGATGAAGGTAGTAATGTTAGATGTCACTTTAGTTAAAAATTCATTTCAACATTCAAGGTAATGAATTTAGAGAGTTTTTAGTAGAGCAGAAATTGGCAAAGATTTTCTTATCACGATTTCTGAACATGATAAAATACAGTATCCAATTGCAAAATCATATCCCGAGACAAATCAGCGATTTTGATATCAATAAACACGTATAACTTTTGGCATCCACAGAATACTTTGCATCTGGCCGAATCGCTGAATAAGCTGATTTGTCAAGTACCAGATGATTCCAATTGGATTACCGTATTTTAATTGTGGTAAGTTTTTTTTTTTTCTTAGCTTATACTCCATTGAAGTTTCTTACGCATAAATATTTCCATCCGTGGGTGATGACGTAACAACTGTTTTTTCTGCTCTTTTTGAATAAATTAGTTCACTTTATCAGTGATTTCATACTTTGTAATCAATGTTCAGATTTTATCAATCTGAACATTAATTACACCCATAGATTGACCGAAATGATGCAACAGTTGAAATGTTATCGCAACTTTTATTCTCTCAACAGGTTGACTGTCCTAATTCTGAACTTAAAGCATAATGAAAAGGTACTATTTGTGTCCTATCATATCATTTGATTAATTATGGTGGTGACAAGCATGGAGGACAACACACCTAACATTTTAGGTGCCGTATTTTGTCATGAAATTTTATTAGGTGAATAGGAGAATTTCAAAAATTTTTAAAGGAGACCTTTTTTGATAAGACTATGTCCATCGATAGTAGTTAACAGATAAGAAGATATATCGTGTTTACTTAGTATACTAAAAAGAGTTGGATGGACAAAGAATGCAGGTTGTTATACCTTTTTGCTCCCAACCTCATCTTTTCTTTCCCTCTACATGAGGTTCACACCTTCGGTTGCTAAGATGCAGTTACCGTAATTTATGCAAATTAATTTTTATGAATTAAATGTTTTGTTTTCAAAATTGAATCCAGAAATTACTATAGCACTTATATTAATAATTTTCATTTCGATATGACTTAACAGTTGAAATTTTTAATGATAAAAACAAATTCCGTCTGTCAACTAGTAATAGGGTTGACATTTTCGAGATGGGACATGCCCTTTAAGCACACTGCAACGTCTTAAAGAATTCTGAACAAATGTTTGCATATATATTGAACAAATGACGAAATTTCTTTTCTTTTACGTATTTCAAGTCCATTAAGTTACTGTAGTAAGGAGCACCTCGATTTGTGTTTAAATTTAAATTTGGTTTTGAGATATGAGAAATTCGAATTATTTGGATCAAATGTGCTACGATCATTGTAAAAGATGGGAAGAACATGAATGGTTAAGCCGATTACAGTGACATTTTTATATGTATATAGGATGAGATTATTTAATACAGTGAAATCAACAAAGGTCATCATGCTAATCCTGTGACGTTCACATTCGACTGTGAAAATGATTTATTACACGAATTATACAGCAGTTTTCATTTGCATTACACATTTAGATTTTCCCCAAAAACAAATACAGTAAAAAGTAATTTCATTTTATTAACAGGAATACTTGCATTGTTCATTGGGGATGCAAGCAGATGATTTGCGTCCAAAGATTAGAGGTCATGCAATCAACAATTGCGCTGTTATGATTTTCGCACCTTCAGGTGATTCCAATCTTGAAATCTTCGATGGAACATTTGCAACCTTAGATCTTTTCCAAGGGACATACAAACTTTTTTTAACCAAGCTATCGATATATAATCATGATACCTTCCTGTGTCAACTTCCAATAAGATTGAAATTATGTAATCTTTGTCCTGTTGCAAGATTTTTGATTTGTCATCATATACGAATTTTTGTCTGAGTTTCAAAGTAAACTCAACATTTTTCAAAATTGAACATTTCCAAAACTAGCCACTCATAATATTTGCTTTTATCCATAGGCGCGCAATTTGCCACTTTCTCATCTTTTCCCAAACGTTTTCAGTAATATATCATTATTTTGTTCACTTTATTTTGGGAAAAATTGTGAACATTCCTGTTTTGGGAAAAGACGAAAGAATAATTGTACTTTTTCCTGAATAGTGTTTTAAAGCTGTGAAGTAAGTTGTACAAATATTACTTTTTTTCTCACATATAATTAGATGTAAAGTTTATACACCTCTGATGTTTTATTCTCGTCAAATATTTTCAACAAGTTCACGTCTTCTGCGCTTTTGTCCTGAAACTTTCCTTGCGCATAACTCAACTCAATTCAGTGTCCTGGAATAATCGTTCACTTTATTGCTATAGGGACTATTGATTCTGTATTTCTTCCTCTATCTCTCAAATTCAATTTCCAATGACAATTTAATTTGTTGCAGAACTGCGGTGATTTCGCATTACGAACCATTTCATACCGTATCCCCGCGAATCGCATCTTTCCAATTGTGTGGGTGTGTGTTGCGCACTTCCTGTTGGAGACGGTATGTTATTTTTTGTTTGTCATAAAACCGTCATCCAATTGGCAGTTGTACATCCGGTAAGCTAATACCTTACTAAATGTGCGTTTTGATGAGATCTGCTAGACAAAATGAATGGTTGATCGGTCGATTCCTCCGCTTTCATTGGAGTGAACGGTTGATAATTTTCCTTCTCTACTGCATCTTTTTAATTCATTGGTTTCGTCAACATAAATCGATAATGTCATATGTTTGTATCGTACCTTAATAACTGACCTTCTAATGCTAATGCTTAATTTCTATCCTTTTTTTTCTTCTAAATTATCAGTTGTCTCATAACTATGGTAACGTTTGAATTTGTCATTCAGTTTATTTTACCAAGCAGTTACTAACGCACTCATAGACATATTTCATCTCCAATGATTATATGTTTGCTATAAATGTTTTTTATTGATAGCAAAATTTTTTCAGATTTACTTATCTCTTTTCCGAAAAAAGAAAAAAAAAACTGAAGAAGCATCCGATCAGTGTCTGGCTGTTTACTCAGTGACAGAAAAATACAATCCATAATTTATCTATATCAATCAGTCCATCATTATCGCTACCATCGCCAGCTATATTGTCGAAATTTCACACCCCACTCATTCTCCAGCTGCTCACCCTTTGGTCTATTTACCAAGTGTACAGTCAAGAGCTTACTGCTGGCGGTGGTTCATGTGGCTTTGACTTTAATTCAGATGGCAGCCGACGTTTGCGCTGAGCAGGTACAATTGCTTTTTGGTTCTTTTTTTTTCGAATTGATTTCGCAATAATTGTGAGATTCATTCGCCTTTAAATTCAAATTTTAAATTTTCATTGAGGTTTCATCAGATTTAATTCAAAAAAACAAATTAACAATCCTGTCAGTCTTTTTGTTTTCCTCCAAATCCTTATAAGTTGTTAATTTTATTGCTTTCTTATGAATTAAAATGTTTATCTGCTTCTCTCAATTATTCAAACTCTTCAGTTCAACTTTATAAGTCATTCATCTGTTCTCTTTTCGGAACATCTTAAATCAATTTTTAATTTTGAATTTCTTTTTAACTCTTAGGTATCCTCCGTTTACACCGTTTTGTATGCTTTATCTTTAGCTCTCAGAATTTCAGTTGATATCAGTACGAAGATTTATTTGTTAATCAACAGCTGAAAATCCACTTTCATCTTTATAGTTCTGAACTTATTTTGCTTCACTACGCAATGCCTTATATTAAAAGTTTTTTTTAGTTACTCAAAAGATTAAACCTGAATCCATAGTGGTTAACCATAGTGTGGATAGTTTTAAAGTTTTTTTGCATAAATATCAATCAATTAATAAATTATTATTACTAAAAAATGATGTAAAGTTGGAAAAAAATAAGAGTGAAACATTTACAGTTAGAACTTGATAGGATCGATTTGACAATAATTATATAAATTTGAAGTGAATGAATTAGAATGGCAAGAGTTAGTTCCGAGTTGAAGAATGTACCTGGCATGTGTTGACTCAAAGTAAAAGGCACAGTAGGCTGGGAGGCTTTTGCATCCTAGAAATATCCGAAAGGAAAATTTATTTCTTAAAATTGAATTAAAATTAAATGGCTATTACTATTGGAACTAGCAAATCTGATTTGACATCCCCAAATGTTGCATCAATACACTGAAAAGTTTATTTTTAGTTGCCATCAACATCATATGCGACCACAACGGCAATTTCATCATCCTCAACCACATCAATCATGCAGGTTTCGGAAGCAGTGGTCAAGGTAGCAACCTCGACCACTCTTCTCCTGGGATCATGTTACATGAGCCAGAGTGCATCTTCAACCTCATTTAACTATCATCAGGTATGTACAGGTAGGACACCTTGCGCAAACAAACAAACATATTCCGCGGAGAACAGCGATAAAGAATGTTTTTAATAGATATTGTTAAATTTGCTCTTTTCCTGTCTGGAAAAATCCTGAAAATGCTCATATGAATGAATCACCTGATAATTGATTGCTACGAAATTCCTAATATTGTTGACAATATTGGAAGTTTAAAGAAGAATTCAATTAAGGAATTCAACCAAAAAAAAAGCCAATTCATAAATTCGACCACAAATTCATGAATATCTCTCAAAACAGGATGATGAAGGAGCTGGAACAGCATTCGCGATATCGCTGTTACCTCCTGAAATACATCTTCATATTTTGAAACATTTACCACGATACGATATCGATAATTGTCGATTTGTTTGCAAAAGATGGAAGGAAATGATCGATCGTAACAACCATTTGCTCAGGAAACATCTCGTACAGATGCTCGAACTCCGAGAATACAAATCACGATTCATCCTGACTTTGAAGTATATTCTATGTTATGTCTCATTTTCAGTGCATAGTATTGCAGAAGTAAAAATTACCAAATTAAATTAATGAAGGAATCATTTTTATCATTTTCGCGTATTTCGAAAAGTACTACTACTTGTTGGCTAAGATGGTCTGAACAGTTTGAATTTCAGCTAGCTATGTGAGTCTTTTTAAGACAGTGGTTCCATATCAACCATTTTGGTCGTTAAAATGTGAAAATTTAACAGTGCTACTAAATTATCTTTTAGCTGTTATGGATACTCATTACGAATTTCTTTGTTTCTCATAACTTGCCAAAGATATTCTCCAAGGCCAATTAAGATTTTAGTAAATAATGTCAGTTTAATTCCCATTGTTCATTGAAATGTGGGATAAATTGCTTATAGTTAGCTTAGGTGACATATTGGTAATTAATGTCTTGCATTAAATTGTGCACAAATGCTAAACAAGTGTAGAAATAGGGATCAAGGAATATTGAACAGAATCTGATTTATAACCTTTCAACGCAACTGCGTCAACTTTAACTATGTGAATGGTAAGAGAAAATGAAGCGGTGATTGGAAGTACAAGGTAATGTAAACGACAACACATGGCTATCTACCCATCTTTACAGTATTTTTAAACAGCTGTTTACTATACCTACACATCGATGAAGTTAACATAAGAACATCGTTTTCAATTTTCTAATCAAAGACAAATTTTTTTTTTTTTTTTGAATAGGTAAAGTTTTCTGCTGTAAGGAGTACTTTGCTTGATATCATGCGTGATCTAATTTAAAGCTTGCAAGCAGATCAGACTTGTAGTAGAAATAATCAGAAATGAATTATTTGCATATAAAATGGGAATATAAAATTTAATCAAGAATTGTAGTTTAGTGTATGGCTAATTAGGCCTGAATCATTAGATTAACGGCGTGCTTAATATAAACCAAATTTTAATTAACTTATTATCTCTGGAGCATATGCCCAAATGTATTAATACTACTCTTGCAGATACTAGATTTAAGAAAAATAAAATAGAATATTCAAGTTTGCGAGTCCTTCGAACTCATTTTACTTAAAATAAGAATTCGACTAAGGTAATTTTTCGGATATTATTTTAAATTATTATTATTGTATTATTCGGAAACCAACATTTTTTTTTTCAGTTGTTCAAATCTCCTAAAAAGTTGGACATTCTGCGAACATATTCCAAGTCGTCCATCTTTCGCCCTTGGAAAACGGCGACGTACTAGGACTTTAACAACACTTAGCAATAGCGAAGAACAGCAGCATGAACGGTATGGTGAGGATGAACATCGATCTGCAGCAAAATTACCTCATCTGCTCATTTATATGGGACAGACTTCTCCCTCTAGTTCTTACCTGCCTGTCTTAGTGCCAAATATATCAAATGATAGTAATTGGCATACGGAGGTGAGCAATTTTTGCTTTCATTTCTCTTTCAATAACTTGTCATTTTTTTTAAAAAAAAATACAACCATGCTACAATTCCTTCGGACAGTACCAAGGAAAGCCGCTGTATTAAGTAATGATACATTCATATTTTCTCCATTTGATCTTTATGCTGTAGTTTGCAGGACTAATTTATACTTAAGAAAAGAATAAACGAATAATAAGGTCATTTGCATCTTTGTGTCACACATATCATAATTGTGTCGCATTATTCCATTCACATTAATTGCGAAAAGGAAGCATTCTTTCAATGGTCTTTTCCAAAAAATCGGAATCAGTATTCATGAAATTTGTTTAGATTGAATCTCTGCTTTAACCATTCATTCAGTTTCTGAAATTTGTTGACTGAGCTTTAATTGTAGGAATTTCTGATATTGTGAGAAGGACAGAAAAACTCCCATTAATTTATACATATTAAAACATAGGAAAAAATGCTGCCAATAATATGACAATACCAAGTAGTACTTTAGACAGTTATACATTAATTAGAAGTTCAATTTCGTTACTAAAAAAGAAATGAACAAAGAACTTTTGTAATGATGTAATACAGCAATTGCATTCTTCTTTCTGTACATATTTGCAAATTACTTTCCAAGATATTTGCAAACTGTTTCCACGTCTAACTGCAGTGACATAAATCACTTTATATATTTTTAAAAGTCATATGAATTAATGAAAACATTTTGTCTATCAGTTGACAGCAGTGTATAGGATAGAGATCATTTTAAATTTAAAATGAGACGCTGATGTCTAATGTCATCTTGTTTTGAAATCGCTTTCATGCTATTCTCTGTATATTAAAATACATACCCTTAATTGTTTATTGCTTAAGTTAAAAAAAAACAGTTGCTGTTCAACTTATTCAAGTTTGTAGGATCACGATGAGCGAAAACGACGACAGCATACACCCTCACATTTGTTATGTGAACGAATAGCGAAATATTTCCGTGAAGCGGATATTCATTTCTTGAGATTGACCGAAATGCGATTCACTGATGATTTCGTAGATCGCCTTTTAGAAGCTTTTGGAACATGTAAAATACGATGTGAAATAGTGGAAATAAGCATGTGCAAGCTAAACTATGTGTCTCCAAAAAAGTAAGTTTTCTTGTTTTTTGTTGTTTAAAGTTTTAGTTAGGATTAGCATTCCTTTCCGCTTTAGATGTATTGCATAGAAATAAGTTCTTTTTTTCAAACAATTTGTCAAAATTATGGTGAATATTCACTGAAGCCCTAAGTACTGAATAACTTGAATATATGCTTAAATTCAGATAGATTTTAGTAGATTTTTTAGGAATTAGATACAATTAGATGGGATTTGAATAGATTTTTTTTTGCTTGACTTTAGATTTTTAAAATTCCTTTATATAGAACTTTTACCAGATAGAAACTGTCAAATTAATAAGTAGTTCAGAAATTCAACTTGCAATCAGAGCTTACGGAATATTATTTTACATTAATGCAAACTAAAAATGAAAAATATCTATTAAAGAAGTACAGAGCCCGAAACTGCTCAAGTGATTTAATATGTATTAAAGATGTCACGCATGAATGAAATACTCAACTTTCAGTTTGATTTCAATTCTAATAAATTTTAGGTTCCATCAGTTCCTTCAGTTGGTTGAATGTCAGAAATTATCACTTATTTGGTTGCGCGGTAATCATGGTCATATAAGTAATTCCAGACAGTTCCTTTCTGAGTTTCTTAGCCTTAGCTTTTTAAGTATTTTTGCCCTTACACCTCAGATAACCATTGGTGATGACCAGTTCTTGGTTGATTTTCTGGAAAGCAAAGCAAAAAAATGTTTGGAAGAAACTGTACTCCGAATAGACAATAGTTCAATCACTACAAAAGGATTCTGTCGAGCTATCGATGTTAGTAATTTAGCGATTTCTTTACAGAAGAAAGTTTTTTATATCAATTATCTGGCATTTTCTCTATACCTTATCTTTATATCTATATCTACTGTTCTAAACCTCTGTGAATTTATCGCATTCATTCATCGTAAATAGTAAATTATAGTTTTCTACACTTTAGTAAATTATTCAAGATTTTTAATTTTGAGATTCTCATACTCATTAGTTTTAGAAATGGAAACAAACCAATACGCGTTGGATACTGAATCTTTGTGTTGGTTCAGAACATATTGATATTGATGACCTTTTGAAGTACTTATCGTTGAATCAAAGTAAACCACGACAAGGTGCATTCCGGATATCTCATCCACAATTACCCGATGAAGCTCTTTTGCTGTGGAGTGATAAAGATGGTCTGCATATAGCTAGTAGTGGGAAACCAGTTTCCTGATTAGGAAATTTTATCGAGTAATACTGTACCCAAATATTCCATTTATTCTAGGTTCATGATTGCTGTGATTGGCTGTCTAAAAAAATAACTTTGGAGCTTATTATTATTTTGAAAAAAACAAAATAAAATGGATAATTAAAAATAATTCTTGCTTTTAAAGTAAATCTGATGAAAGGAAAATTTCAAGCATCTATTCCTTAGCCTTCAAGATTTAGGTTTTCAGTCTGTCATATTTTAATTGTTCGTTAGTTTGCCAATATCTCTGATCCAATGTCAAGCATTATTTAAAAGTTTTGATTTGCCGTTTATTTAGAGTGACAAGTAGAGCAATGTAGTCATTATAGAAGTTAGCGGTGAGAGTGTATAGTTGGCATAAGTGAAAATTAAATTAATTTAATTTTCTCTTCGGTTATTTGTCTATTTGTTCTTTTGTTGGGAACTGTTTTTGTTTATTGCCATGACTTATTGATTACGCATTATTTTTCGATGTTTCGATCACTTGAACTAACATATATTTTCATACCATTGAAAAAATATGTAATGTTTTCATTATACGTCAAATAATACTTTTGACGTATCTTTCTGAAAACCTAATACAGCTGTGATTAGGTGATCTTCTTTTCGATCTTATTATTATTGTTGTTATTGTCATTAGAATTAATTACTAATACCAAAATGAAACATAGTGCTTACATGACCCAATGCATATTTCGGATGTGTGGAACTTCATGATTTAAGTACTAGATCAAAATTCAAAAGTTAGTAAAATATTGTTCATGCTAATGATGTAATAAGGGAGATTCTAGTAGAACTTTTTTAAGTTTTCAGCTCAAATTAAATTCTAGGAGGCATCTCCCTAACTCCGCAATTGTACTGTCATCAATATTTCGTTCTCCCATGTTCCATCCCTTTTCATTGTGAAATATTTCTAATTTTGGAAAAAATTCATTAAAAAGATTTGCAGATTGTGGATTGTTCAATTTGAACATGAATCCGACTCACACCATTTTTTTATTAAGATTCCAACCGCAGGACTATACAAGTTTAAGATTTCAATATGGCAGACACAAATGATCAAAAATTTAAATGCAAATGAAATATGAATGGAACCGAAATTGTCCGCATGTCGAACGTTGCATCTCTTTCAAGTGTCATATTGATGGATGTTGAATGAATTTCCGGTACAATTTCCAGAAAGGTACGTGATGCGTCAGTTGATCTGAGTTTAACAACTTGGATTGTTTTCTTGCATTTCTGTTTTCCTTTGATCAATGAATACATCAACATGTGAATTACATGTTAAAGTCGAAATCGCAAACACAAAGAGTTCTCTTTTGACCAAGAATTGTCGAAATTCTGATTGGCTATTTCTTTGACAACACCAACTCTGACCATTCACTTTTTTATTTTGTAAATGGGTAATTCTCACTTGACAGATACCAGTGACAATGAAAAATCGCTTCAATGAACATTTCTGTTACATACTGCCTAACACCAACATCGATCTCAACAGCCTGACATGTTTTGCGAAAAACTTACCACATTTTCAAATTGGAAGCATTTGTTCTTGGTAGAAAAACCACAGCATAAATTATTGTTTCCCTAAGAGAGGTTTATTACAATGTCGGTGAACAATATAAATTTCTTAAAATTTCAAAATTTAAAGAATTCTCTTACTATCAGCTAAATAAATCCAATAATGTCTTAACAAACATTAAAGTGAACTTAAACATTTGTACCTTAAGCAAATTATGATTATGTGATGTAATAATCTTTTCTAGAACTTGACGACAGTTAAGTCCATTTTTTTATTTTAATCTTTTTAATTCAGCTTATTAAGTTCAATTTAACGCAATTTTATTTTAATCTTTTTAATTCAGCTTATTAAGTTCAATTTAACGCAATCTATGCTTATTTATTCCCAATTCAACTTTTTTTACATTTTATTTTCTGGTTTAAAAAACATTTTTTATTTTTTGATGGAATGAAGTTTATGTTGCACATATAGATTTTCCAATGGGCATCTCTTATTGTTGACATTTATTCAAATAAATTCCAGAGCCTTTGAGGACACTTCATCGCTAATGTAGTTTTGGAATGAATGTGCGGTGACACCTGATTAGTAATATGAAGAAATTATGCAAAATATAATTGGTGCTTTCCATATTCATTGAGCCAGTCCTTAGTTAATTCCTTAGTTATAAATGCCTCTTTGTTTCACCCCACTAGCAATCTGTCTGAATATTTCTTACCTAATTAATTAATTGATCAAGTGGTGCAAAAGCACACCTGTTTGTTCATCTACATTAAATATACATCGCCACTATACTGTCTTGTAAACAAAAAAATTCATTTTCAAGTGGAACTATCTGCAATAAAAGGAGTAATTTCTTTTATACCATTAAGTAGTTCAGTGTTTCTTTTTTTTTTAAAAATTTAGAAATATTCTCATGATATTACATCAGATAAAGCTTCACTTCTCTGTTGATACAGTAATTTCAATGATTTATATTTGTTCTTCCCCTTGCTGCAAAAAATAAAGCTATTGAACATACACCACTTTGTCCAAAAAATTTTTAAGCTAGTAAGAACAGAGGGAAAAAGCGTCCCTTTTTAACTTAAAATACGAAGCTGACTGAATGTTTCCAATAAAAATGTTGAAATTTTAATCTTCTGAGAAGATTAAAATTGCATTCAAAATTAGGACTTTTAAAATTCCAATCATAGCTATTGACTTAATCATAGCTTATACCTACGACTCGCTTTTTCTTAGGATATCAAAAAAAAAATTATTACACCTGTTGTAATAGTAACTTCGTATGATTCGAAAGAAGAGAAAAAGATATGGATAGTCATAAAAAGAAGAATTATTAAAAATTAAAATGTGCACTAACAGCTCTTTTGGAATTATTCGTCCCTGAGCTGTTTGCGCCTTTTTTCATAATGAAATAAAACAGGATTTGTTGCATTTATCAATTTTTGTTAAATTCCATTTCTTTTTCCAAAATATTTACCTTTCCTTTTTTTGTTTGCTGAGATAAAATTTAAAAATTGACAAAGGCTGCTTGAATTTTCAATATTCAATGAATTCATTTAATGAATGATAATGTACCATTTAAAGTTCTATTCAAAGACAAAAAAAAAGTGAAATAAATTGTGGTTTGGAAATATTAACAGAACGTTGGCTAATTAACTGATAACGACAATAAGTGATGTCGTGAAATAGTAAGGACTGCCAGATAATTTATTTGCCAAACTCAGTAGTTGGGTAATCAAACTCCAATCAAATCTATTCAAATGAAGCGTTTAGTGCGAAAGCGTTTGTCCGGAGGTCGATTTGTCTTGTGAATACGCAACAGTAAGGGATATTAACCTTCATCGTGATAAGAAATTGATAAAAATCCGCCAATGTCCGTAGAAGCGAAGAATAAGCAGAAGAAGAAGCCGATAACCTTCGAAGAAGGGGGGCAGCTCCACGCCTCCCCCGGATTTGGGACCGAGATTATATATGTTAAGAAATGGGAGTGGTTTACATGAAGAATTCAAGTATCGGAAACACACCGGATATGGTGCAAGCATTATAACAAGATTAAACAGAATGATTGACATGGAAATTAAGGGTTTTAACATAAGAATGCAAATTGGTTAGATAAGATAATAACAAAAGAGTGTGGGAAACAATTTTAAGGAATGTAAATATGTTAAGAGTGATTCATAGTATCATTAGCATTAATTTACAATGTGAATGAATTTATTTGAGGTTTCGTTTTCACGACAAATGAGAGCATTATAGAATTCTCTATCAGAAGAAAATTTTCTAAACCCTTCAATTATCTACAACTTATCAATATCCGTCAATTGTTTGAATCTGTTAGCCATGTTATGCACTGTTAAAATAGTACCATATGATGATAATATTGCATTGAGAGTCGAAACAAAAGCCATCTCGATTTGTTCATCAGCTATACGATTCTTGAAAAAATAAAACTGGAAGTCGGGCTAGAAAGAATGAGAAGTAACAGATAGTTACTGATTGTACAGTTAAATTTGTGGACAATTATACTAGGCTCTTATGTCCAGGACTATTTTGTCTTTCAATCTACCTCTTATATCAATTGTTGACGTGCACCAAGTGACCATAAATTTGAATAATTGATAAATATTGCTTGCGATTATCATAAAATATAAAAATTGTTTGACTGAAGATGAAAAAGAATTTTTTAGCGATCTTATTATCATTGTCTTGAATGACCAGCGTCCTGTCGATGTGTTCGAAACACATTATGATTCTTTTCGCAGACTTTTTACTTATTAGCTATAATAGATTTAAAATTTCTTCCTTGTAAACAAAAGAGAGATACTCCAATTCCGCGGAAACTTTTTAGGATGGAGTTGAACAAACCTGAAAATCAAGGTAAAAATATAATCCTCAACTATACTTTATGCAATCATTCCAGCTAGGCTTTAGTCTCATTTGTAAAAAACCTAGTCTAGACTTCTCTACATAAATAAATCTATGTAAATAAAAATGCAAATGTTTGTCTGTTCAAAATCTTAAATCTTCCAAAGTTCTTCACCGATTACTTTGAAATTTGAACACAGCATTGCATTCGAATGCCCGTGTGTTCTTATATATCTATATTGCACGGATGTCACACCTTGTCACATCTATTCAGGAAAAACATGCTTTTTTTTTGAGTATATATATAAAAGGAGCTTTGGTAAGCTCCACCACGGTCATGGCGAGGTCAACTGGCTCCTGGCGTGGTCTGTGCTACAAACGTGTGGAAATGCAGAAATCTCTTTGTGACGTCCAACATTGTTAGTTCACATCTTCATCGCCTTAATTTTACTTACTGGACTGCATCATCCTATCTGTCTGATATTGTGTAAATTTTATGTTAAAGAAATTTAATTTCGATAATCCATTAATTGTTGTATTTTTTGTCTTCCAGAAATTTTTTCTTGACAACAAATTATCGAGTTTTGATGTATTTCTTAGGAACTATTCGTTGAAACTCCCATGTGGAATCCCACATTTCCCACGTTTCTAAAGCATCTGCCATTGGAAAAGTATTGCAGAAATGCAAACTTGTTGTTTGAGATGAATGAGCAATGTCATAGAAGTAACAATCTTGACAGGACATTTCTAAGATGAAGATGTTCTCATTCCACGCATATGATATGTCATTTCAATTTAGGAGAATACAATTCCCAATTCGATTGATGTTTACAATCATCATCAACAATGCTTAAAGTCAATCTTTAAAATTCCATGATTTAGATTAAGACACGGATTACTTCTTACGTGGGACAATTATATGTTGCGTGTTATAGAATCGATAAACCAGACAATCTACAAAAAATGAAAGAACAAAAAAACATTGTATACCGATAAGCATTGTGAAATTAAACATATTTAGAAAGATGCGCTTTCTCTTCTCTTTCTTTTTCTTTTAACAACACTATTTTTTTTTATTTGCTGTTAGCTATACCTGATGAAGCATTGCCACAGCAACGCTTCATCAGGTATAGCTAGCCTTATATTAATAACCGAATTATGCATGGTCATTTCAAAAATATCAAGGAGTTCTTCCGTCAGACACTTTATGTCTGTTAGTTATGAGAAAAAAAAAAGTCCCACATAACAGCAATCACAGAAAGGCGCAGGAAAACGACGTAATGAAGAACACAGTATCATTGATAGCTATTGTTTTGGTTGTTAGTGTATCCGTCACTTTGCTTACGGTATGTCCGTATTTTTCATCCAATTAAGAACGGAGAAGTCAAGTTGTAACAGCTGTTACTTTCTGGTTGGGACGAGTCAAACGTGAATCTTCTCTAAACAATCTTACCTTTGTCAGCTGTTAAGGTATTTTCCCTTGAAGCTATGCTAATTAATATCATCAAGCTTGCTAGAGTACTTAACTTTACAATCGACTGGAAAAACTACTCGGGACCAGCTTGTATGTCACACCCATCCCGACACTTTCGTCCCGCGGTACTATTACAGAAATTCCCGACAGCAACAACCCACAATTTGCTGGCCGTAACTATCTAACTTTCCCTTCTTTCTATTCATTGCAACATTATTTTTTAAATTTCCATCAATTTTTCTCTTCTCTTCAACCCTTCATGCTATTCTCCTCTCCATCACCACTGAAATTTTATGACATCACAGGAGTAGACCTGTTATCTCACCAACTCCGTCAAAGCCCGCCCCCTCTCTCCTATCACGTGCCTTCTCCATTTCTCATATATTCTAATCGGAACAATCTCTAATTCTCCTCGTATACCTTCTCTCTACTGTTCGACACCCGAAGAGCTATGTGATCACGACCCCGCGTCCTCAAGATTTTTAAAATTGAACATGAAGAATCTGCTGATAACAAAGTATCTTAGTGTCTCCAGCACATTTCTGGTATATTGTACGGGAAGAATACAATGTTACGAAAGTTATCTGGAAAGTGTATCCTTGCAAGGATGGTAGGTTTAACCCTGATTGAATTTCTTGTTCAAATGTTGTAGACTTCTTTTTGTACATAATTTTAATGCTGCATACAGGTGTTTTTCGTCTTGGCACCGAGCAAATATAGCTTATTAGCGAATCCTGCCTTAGCATCATCCAAACATCTTTTTTCCAGCAAGCCATGCCCGCAGCATTGCGAGTTAGTTTCTTTTTTCTTTGTCTTTTCTTTGTACTTTCCCCACATAAAGTGCCTCCGTCATTGTCATATGATACAATCGGGGAAGAAGAATATTACCTGATAATGTATTTGGATGGAGAAGTCTCGATGATGCCACTTCTAATTGTAAGTCAATGAGGACTTATTGGTTCAGGTGCACTACATTGATACTCTCTCACATATATTCATAGGAATTCATTCGAATGATTTCCGATTCAGTTTTAATTTCACTACAGTCCTTGCAAAAAAGTCCATCTTAGAAGGATTGAAGTTGGAATTTGGAAGGAATCAGCATTGGATAGTTTTATTATAAATGAACGAACAATGCTGGAGTTTACTTCCAGAAAATACTGGTTCCTACAGAGGTCCAATTACTGAAAGCTTGACTGTTGGTCGAAAAACAAAAATACAGACAGCGTGAACATTTTGGGGTAACAAGTATGTTACTATGTCTACCACGCATCTGTAATGGTCCTGACATGAATCATTGTTTAGAGGTGTGCTACTTTGAATGATCGGAGAACTTTTAAGACAAATCTTGTTTCTTATATTAAATTTATGCAGAAATTAGTTTTAGTCTTTCCATGGAGCAGATATAGTTTCAGATTTCATCTTGTGGAGTCAATACCTGAAAGTATGATTTACCCTGCAGTGTCAAATTTCCCTTCAACAACTGAAATATGGAAGCGATTAATCAGTTCCGCTGAAAAATCGATTGACATTGCATCATTTTACTGGAGTTTACTTCCAGAAAATACTGGTTCCTACAGGGGTCCATCAACACAAGACGTTTGCTTTCATCTTGGAAATATCTAATAAATTCCTACTAGACTTTACCAAACAGATAGCTGCTATTTAAGGTGTTTTGCTATCATTCAAATCATATGTATTTTATTTAGAATTTGCCTCAATATATATGGAGAATTTTGATTATTTGAGCACTTTTAAAAGAACTGTGAGATCTGAAGTGCTACTTTCATTCTTGGAATTCCTTCGAACTACTTTTTTTGATAGCTTTCATTTATTTTTCCAAATTAAGGGTATTGATATATATAATGCGTTGATTGGAGCGGCAAAAAAAGGCATTAAATTGCGTATTGTTCAAAATGCACAAAATAACAATGAAACCAGAACATTGAAAAATGAGGGACTGGCTGAAGTACGCAGCTTAAATTTTTCGAATTGGTTTGCTGGTGGTAAGCTCATAAATTAAAATTTGCTGCAATTTATTTTATCTTAGCTATATTTGAATAGACATTAAGCTAATTAATTGGCAAGTCAATCCAAGTATCAGATATACAAATATACACTCGTAATTATTGTATAGATTCACGAGCTTGCACTGAATTGCTGCAGTGCAAAGTGATTGACATGATATACCCTTACTTTAAGATAACCCGGTGTCGACACTTAAATTTCCTGGATAGTTCTTTATTTTATTTAACTCATGATTTTTCAGGAGTATTACATACGAAGTTTTGGGTAGTTGATGCGAAACACTTTTATTTGGGCTCAGCCAACCTTGATTGGAGGGCTTTAACACAGGTACCAAAACTTATTATATAATAGTAAAAGCATGTATACTAGCTAGACTTTTATAGCAAATCAGAAATAGCTTTTTTTGTCGAAATACTTCTCGAGAAATCAAAGTGAACAGGGAAGAAACAACTATTTGTTGATCAGCTAAAATCAAGTGGTTGGAGTGGTTTAATTAAATAATTGCTTTTATAGGCCGTGCTAACAGCTTAGGAACTATAACATGTAAGGGAAGCTGATTAAATTCATACTGTTTCGCGTTTTTTATATAGATCCTGACAAGTTTTACTTTTCGTCTGAAATAAAAGGCCTAATTTAGGAAGTTTTTATGTTAGTTTGAATTCAATTTTTTAAGGTGAAAGAACTTGGTGTCGCCATATTCAATTGTGAATGTTTAGCAGAAGATTTAATGAAAGTGATGAATGTTTATTGGGAAATGGGTGCACCGGGTAAGAAGTTACCATCTTCATGGTCGAAAGAACTAGCGACTGCTTATAATGCCTGGAATCCGATAGTAGCTACACTTAACGGTGAAAAGACTGGTGTTTATATTTCGGTAATTTTTCGCATGTTGCAGCTATCATTCATTTCAAATCAAGTAGCAGAGGGGACGAGTGATTTAACTATGATAATCAGATTAATTCTTTTAACAATTAGAAATTGTTCTGATGTCTAACAAGAAATATTTTTCCTAGTTTGTAATAACTTATTTGTTTTTGTTTATTTTTCACTTTCTATTTTTCCAAAATGAGAATCCATTTTGCAGTCTGCACCCCCAGCTTTCTGTCCCAAAGGTCGTATGAATGATCTCAGTGCAATCTTGCAAGTTATCAATACTGCTCGAAAATTTATACATATATCCGTGATGGATTACTTTCCAGCTACCCTATATTTAGCAAATAATAGGTATGTGGTTTGAATTCTAATTTCTTTTGATTTCTGGTGAAAAATTCTTTAATTTCTCATTCTTTTTGCAGGTACTGGCCTGTTATCGATGATGCTTTGCGAAAAGCCGCATATAATGGTATCGAGGTGAAACTATTAATAAGTAAATGGAAAACTACGCGACCGACATTATTTGCCTTTCTGAAGTCATTAGCAGTCATAAACTCAACTTTACCGTGCAAGCGAACGTACGATACAAAAAGTAAATTTTTTAAAAACAGTTACGGATTTTGAAATGTACAGTCTTCATAAAATCCGTCCTGGGCATTCATCAATCAGCGACTGAGCAATTCATAACAAGGTAGAGAATATTTCCGGAAATCTGCTAAATTGTTCTTAATGCTGAGAACCTTGCCTTAAATGAGGTATTTTATGTTACAACTACTGCAGACTAAAAATTTATGTATGACCAACTCAAAGTTGTGGTAAACTAAATGATCCTGCAGTGAGATTTTTTAAAGCATTTTCGTGTTAGCGAATAAGAATTAGGAAATTGTAGGCCGATGACATTTAATCTGGTGGAAAATTTTGTCGCAGGTTTTAAAGTTAATTTTCTTTCTTTGCAGAAGGAAGGTTTATTTGTATACCAGATACAACGGGTTCTATTGAAGTGCGTATATTCATAGTACCAACGATAGGCGATCAGAAAAATATTCCGTATGCTCGTGTTAATCATGCGAAATATATGGTTACGGATAACAGTGCGCTAATTGGTATTTTTTTAGTTTCTAAAATTTTAAAAACTACTAGAAATTTCTAGGGAGCTTCTTAATAGCCTGTCGTTATACTGCTTTTCTTTTTTTGAGCAATGTTTATCAGTTTTGCGGACTAGCACTATTGAAGAATAATACAGATGTAGACTTCGCCTCAGATTTCCTTATGTTGCGATCGGTTGTGGAGCAGATTTAGGATAGTTCTCTTTTATGCATGGAAATAGATACAATTCAAAGTAATCTTGAAAAAGTAGGATTCGTATAAGTCAGTTCTGTACTAGTAATTTTATAGAGATCTAAGATTAAATGCTATAGTACTTTTCGTAGTTTGCATTCTGTTATTGTCAAAATTTATGTTATGGTTTTAGGTACATCGAATTGGTCAGCTGATTACTTTATCAATACTGCAGGCGCTAGTATAGTGATACAACGGCATAACAAGGCATTAAATTCGGAAATAGTTCATGATTTGAACGAAAAAATCTTCATGCGAGATTGGAATTCAAGCTATGCATCTCCTCTTTCAGAGTTTGATGATGAAGGTCATCGGATAGGAAATAATACCGTGGTTTCTGAGGTCTAGCTCACCAATCGACATTAGTTCGAATTTAAAAGAAATTTCCCAAATTTAACTTTCACATTGTTTTTTAAGAATTTAAACTTAATTTTTGCTATTTGCGTCACTGTTTGTGTTGATTGAACAATGATGTGTCATGAAGAATGTTAACTGAGTAAATTGAGTAGTATCTTGAGTAACTGTCATTTTCAATTTAAATAAAAGTTAAATAAAAGTGTGTTCAAGTTAAATAAAATGGTGTACACCTAAAGCACAGAAAGTTCTTACGCAACCATAGTAGAAGCAGAGAGAGCTATCGAAAAAGTAATTGTGTGCAAGTTTGAGTTGACTTATTTTTTTAGGTTTTCTTGCCTGAAAAGTTCTGTTCTTGTTTATACTATGGTGTATTAATTCACTCACCTGACACTTGTTGTCGTGGCTTTTTTCAAATCGATTTTTTATTGGTTACATTTTATTACTTTGTCAATATTCTTTTTAGAAAGCAAAGAAGTGGAATACTAATCAGTGAAAAACGTCACAAATATGTCTCAAATTTACAATATGTTTTACGATAATCATGTCATTATCTGCAAATTTATGATACACTGTATTGAAAAGTCACTACACTTTACAGGCATTAAAAACATAATCCCTTTCTCATGAGATAGGCACGCCGTTAGCAGGGTTCTTAACCATACCGGGTAAATTGATATGTTTACGATAGAGATTGCATTGCTAACTTTCCGTTCACTTAATGAATTGTGACCTTGAGACTAGATAGTCCATAACGACTTACTAGACCGGTTGTGTGGTTGCTCAAGGTTTATAGGATTCTCACAAATCACATGTGATTTGTTTGGCCATACCCCTGACTCCGGTACTCGCACCCTAAGTCCTGGAAAAATGAAATTATGCGGTTTTTCAAAAAGGTCCAGGCATTTCTCCTAAAAGTTAGGGCTAGCAGGTTTTGCTAGTTTTGGTGTGGATGTTAGCATAATGAATAAATGATCCTTCCAGGAGATCATATGAAGTCAACAGTGGCTCCCAGGACTTGTACTATCCTAGATTTCGAAAGGTCTCAATCTCTTGCCAAAAGTTGAGACACTGCTCTTTTTATCTACTTAACTCACTGGTGTAAGAATGTGTAGATTAAGAAAAGGAAAAAATATTGATGAAGAGTAATATGGATAATGACAAGAAGGTTTCTATGTATTCTAAAATAAAGGGGTACCAATAACTAGATATGTCATACTCATGAGGATTTAAATTTCTCGAACCGTTACCAAGTCCACCGGTTCACTAGTGTATTTCTCAGAAGATTTTCTCCTAATAATCGGTAATCATTCATAACCTATCGCAAACATTTTTCAAAATTGTAATCGATGTTTTCATAAGGTTGCACAATAGTTATCGAAAAAAAATAATTAAATCTTTATAAATTTAACAGTTGTTGTTCCCTTCTACCTTTACTTCTTTGTTGCAAAAAGTGCAAAAGTTAAATGTTAAGAAAGTGCAGAATTGTAAATGAAAATATCGATTGAATTTTTCCCTTATTTCAATTTCTGAAAAGAATCATTCTTCCTCCAGAATGGTCATACCTATCAATATCTTGATAATGAACTCGTTTATCAACGTGTTAGTGATATTGTCTGATATTTTTGTGATAGCCTTTGCAAGTATCGCTCCATGGGATAACAATAGTGTCTACGGATATTGCGTCAACGTAAGTAAGAATATGATTTCTGTAGTTTTTCATTCATGTTTGCTCATCTCTAATCGCTAAGTGCTACTTGGAAAGATATTTTATTCCCATATCTCTATCGACTAATACCAATAACGCAGTAAATCGTAATAGATCTGATAACGAAACCAATAATAACTGAAGTAAAAGGAATGAAATATGGGAACAAATCTGTCTGATCCATTCAATTAAATCTGAATCCTTAAGCAACAAACTTAGTGGTATCAAACTGAGCCATCTCTGTCCCATCAGATGTTTTTCGCAAACTGAATTTGCTTTTTTTTTTACTTTGGTCAAATGATTAAGATTTATATATCGAATCAATAACCAGATCTTAATTCTCCAAAACTTCGTGTTTCAGAAATCGGTTAAGATGGATCCAATTCAGAAAATTATCCGTAAAAGGACATTGAACCTACCGGATGGAGGGATGATTGGAGCCCCGGAAGTGATTCAGCTTGGCCAAAACCTTATACACTTAATACAAGCCAAAAAAGCTATCGATATAGGTCTAGACATCAAAGTTCACAATTCTTCAAGCTAATCCTTCCCATTTTTGAAATTACCCTGGAGACCATGCGGTTCCTCAAGTCCTAAAAACTTTCTACCAAACATAAGAAATTTGATTACAGTCTCAGATTTCCTCCCCGACCTTATATGATCTTTGTTTTGCATCTTATTTGATCAAGCAAGTCAAATTCATTCCTTCTAGGTACCTTTACTGGTTCATCAGCGGTGGCCTGGGCCTTGGCAATGCCCAACGGAAGCGAAGTACTAACAATTGATATTTATCCTGGGAATTATGAGATCAGTCGTGACCTTATCAATGCTAGGCCAGACATTTACTCAAAAATCAAGCGGCATTTGGGACCAGCGGTACAAAAACTAGGCAAGTGCAGTTCTAAAATGTAGACTTGACTACTATAAAATAAAATGAAAGAAATGGTAAGTTTCCTGCCAAACAAAATTAATGTCCAAATGTCTACTTCGGCTCCCAAAAACCAGTTCCTTCACAACTCGAAATGAATGGGTTCGTATGTTGTAAACAAAGCAGCTTGGAACAGTTCCTAAAAACAAAAACTTCCAGATGCAATGCTTGCTTCTGGAGAAGCTGGAAAATGGGACTTCATATTCATCGATGCTGATAAAATTAATTATCCACGATATTATGAGCAATCAGTTAACTTACTGCGATCTGGAGGGGTTATCATAATTGATAACGTGAGTCTTTCAAAATCTGTAGGGACGTAGACGTAATTTCTGGATTTCCGTCCCCAATTTCGTAATTTCAAATCAGATGGTTTTGTTTTCCAGGCCCTGTGGGGTGGAAGTGTTATCAAAAAAACTCGTTATCCAGGCGATCGCAACACGGCAGCCATTGATGAAACAAATCAGAAAGCTTCAAAAGATTCCCGCGTATACAATTACTTGATGAACATTGCCGATGGGATACATGTGATTTTCAAAAAGAATAATGAATAAGGAACACTTAAAATTTAGAATATGCAATGAAGTAAACAGTTGCTGGAATTGTACCAAAAAGTTTCAGTTTTGTTTTGTAAATAGTAACTGAAAAATAAAGTTTTGTTTCGAATTGAAAGGGGTCATAAAAATGATATTTCAATGCACAAAATACACATCGAATTCTCCCTAATATTAATAATAAAACAACATACATAAAAGAACATCACAAAACGATATTTCTCGTTATTAAATTCAAAAAACAACAACAACAGACGAAAATAAAAGTGACGAAATCAAAAATAAAAAGTAACAATGTGAAATGAATCTAGATTACTTGGTTACGTGATCGATAAAGTGTCATTTGTGAAGTAACTGAAACTTCTCTCATTCAACCAATCTGCTGGAAAAGGTCTCCGTAAAATGGGAAATCATTTGCGGCTTACGTAAGCAATAAAAAGAAATCGATTGTAAAGAGTTGTGGGCTCGACAAATTCATTTAAAATTGAAAACTATATATTAGTTGTTGCATCAACAAAAAAGCATATTATTGTCTTTAAAATGATCGAAATAATTTAACTTCATTCCACAATTTTTGGAAATTTAGCCATAAGCAGTCCATTGCTATATAGAAGTTCTGCCAATCTGATATTATCGGCTACAGTATTACATTTCAAATCCGATACTAAGCACCACTGTGGATATACATTCAGTAAATTTGCAAATCCTTCTGTAAGCTGAAATTCAGATTTGATTTTAAATAAGCTAAGCAACTTACGTTAAAATTCAATTTCACGACAGTGAAAAAAATAAAATCTTACTTCCACGTCTAGATCAAACAAAGTTTCTGCTCTTTCTTCATAAACTCTCGAATTCGCCATGCGATGTACAATAAAGCAACGCTCTTCCGACTCATAAATAAGTCTGGAAAAAAGGCCAGTAAATTTTTATAGCGTATCCTTTTCTTCGAGAAACGAATGGTCTCATGGCTAGCATCACACTTTTCCGGACCCAATCATAAGGCAGCTTTGCTGAATTGATTTGATGACACTAGTACCTAGACATTATTCTACAACAGTTGTAGAAGTCACCTTTGGCCATGTCTTCTTAAAAGCTTGATTGGTGTATCCTTCGTGAAGATATGTTGGTTATCACCATATAACGATCCATCAGCAATGCATAACACTGTCATATCTTTCTCCTCTTAAAAAGAAAAGTAGCGGATTGAAAATTCATGGCAATTTCAAACTCAACACCATGTGAATTCTAACTTTTTCTGGTTGTGAGAAATTAAAAATATCTTATTTCTAAATTTTGTTTACATTAAGCACACTATGGTGTATGGAAGGACAAAAATTATTTTGTTTTAAACAAAAAGCAAGCACGAACACAACTAATGAAGAAAAAAATGTCTAAATCTAGAAACACTGAACTAATGTACAATGGATCCCTGAAGTTAAAATTACCTTTGGTCAACACAGGTGGCAGTGCTGTCTTCATAAATTCTCTGGCCATCATATCGACAGCTGGTTCATACAACTCTTTAACGTATTTGCAGAAATTTGAAAATACAGCATCAAGAAAGCGATGTAACCTGAATTCTGCTTTTTACTGCGTAAGCAAAGTACATAATTCCCTCTGAAATCTTGAAACTTCAGAGGAAGTTTCACTGTTCACTTCTTAAGACATCATACGTTCTAAACCATTGGAATCCAGCCAAAATTTACCTGTCATTTCTAGTCAAAGCTTATCATCCCTTTTGATGATACAGATTCATATTTTTACTAAATAAAACTCATGAAATGCATACTTCACAGCACCAGTTTTGAATAGTGGATAGTCGCATTCCAGTACACCCGTCATATCTAAATAACCAGCTGGTAGTGATCTGCGAATGTTTACATGTTGCTCAGCAAAATTAGATATTGCAAGGGGAATGATACGTTCCAGAAGATCAGCATACGTCACATTGCGGCAAACACTGACAGTGAGATGTAACGAATGAACGTCTTTGTCTGCGAAACCCTAGAGATTTAGCGACTTATTAAATAACCATAGAAACATATTATCTCAACACACAAACACTCCAACATGTATTGCACCATGCAAAAGAGATGAGAGAACATCTCTTTACTAATAGATTTTTACTATATATACTATACAGTAGAAATCCACTAAAACATACCAGGAAACAGCTATCAACATAACAATCAATTTATTATACATTCCTTGAGCGAGTTATATGAATAAGCTAACGCATAACGTTTATATGAACAAGTTAACATAATAAGCGTCATATAACGCTCATTCGAATAAGCTAACGCTTATTCATATTCATATAATTTATTCACCTTAAATTCTGCTCTTTACTATGTATATGAAGTCCATAATTCCCTCTAAAACCTTAAAGTTTAAAGGAAGGAAGTTTGATTGCATATTTTTTAAGATATCACGCATCCCAAACTGTTAAAAAAAATCTGTCTTTCCCCTCAAAGTTTACCACCCTTCTTGATGATACAGATTTGTATTTTTGCTAAACATAAGACTCATAAAATGCATACTTTACAGTATCAGTTTTGAACAATGGCTTCCTCAAAGAACATAACTCCCTCAGTGAACGTATTATAAATTCAGATCCTCATGCATTAGAAAAAATTAACATAGACAGATGCACTAAAGGATTTAAAAAATCGAAAATTTGTACACTATTAAAGGCAATGGAAGCTTTTCGCAATAAGAAATTGTTCAATACATCTAACCTGGTGGATGAAACCTCGTGGAATATATAACATGTCGCCTTGTTCCAGCCAGTCATCAAAAACAAGCCTACGATCAGCAACATCATCGTCCGTAAAATTATCTAAACAAGGATATAATGGGAGAATATCATTTTACCAAATCTTCATGCATTAGAAAAAAAAATTAATAAAGACCGCTAGATAGTCGAGGAAGCATTTCGTTATCGTCAGTATGTGCATATATCTTCCAATGTTTTCGTCCTTCTAGCTGAAGCAAGAAAGCATCGATGTCGTCCCAATGAGGAGCGAAACCAGCCGTGTTTGCGGGGGTTATATAACTATAAAGTAAAAAATAGAAAAGAGATGACAACTAATGAAAAGAAATTATTTTCTTAGAAAAAGAATAATAGAATCTGAAGAAAATATTCTAAAAAACAGGTACGAAACAAACTTTTCGCCAAATTCATTAAATGTTTTAATCTCAATTCCAGTCATACTTACTTCCTAATTCCAAAGCATTACCCTTGCAATTCTAATCTTACTTCCTCAGAAAAGAGTCAATGCTAGAGGCAATTACGAAACACTCGAACAGAATATAAACGAGTTTCACTGCTACATAAGAAGTTCTGAAATGTAACGACATGAAAAGAACATACGTGTTAGCTCCTACAAAACAGCCAAATACTTCCTGTAATAAATCGCAGTAGTACCAAACATTGTCACAGAAGCTTTGAGGATTTGTAAACTGTATTGAACAGCCAGCCTAAACCCAAAAACGCATGTTAAACAGAGAATTATATCATGGATTTCATACTTACTACTGTGAAGTTATTTGGCTCTTTCATCTGAAAAAATGAAAAACATAATCCTAACCAGAATCAATATTGGAAAAATCTATTCATTATTCTCTGCGGATTTGCGATTCCATACCTTAATGTTTTTTTGTATTTCTTGAGGATAGACCTTCCCAGAACCGTTTAAAGTCGACCTCTCTTGATTCTTGTAAACAGCAATATTCACATTGGTACCATATTCAACGTAATCCTAAATTGCCAATTTTTTACAAAGTTTGAAAATTCATGGAGTCAATTAATGATCAAAATAAAACACACGAACCGTTTGCAGAATGTCGATAAATTTTGCTGTGCTAAATAAATTGCCATAGTAACTCGGGTTATTATGACGGACATGAAATACTTTCTTTTGGAATACCATTCTGAAATTTTCATAGAAGAGCAAAAATTTGAGCAAAATTCGATGGGCAGATTTCACCAAGTATACAGTAACAAACTTGAAAAACTGTGTTATATCACAGGGATCGATAAGCCATTGGAGAGCATTTAATCCATTTTGTACCGAATCACAGTGAGCTGAGAAAGGCTTCCGTTCAAAATCTATTATTACGCCATGAACATCGTCATCCTTTTTTCCGCAAAATTTTATAAAACGCTCACAAAGCGTATCCTTTACAGCTCTCCCTTGTTCTGAAAGTAAGTTTGGCCCACGTTCTCAATATCACTTGAACCTAAATATATTATTTACAAAAACTTACTTGAGAAAGTGGAAAATAAACTGAACTTAACCTCACCATAATCCATAAACGAAGAGCAAATTCTCACATCATCGTCCTCTTCTCCATTCCCCATGTTTTTTTCACTAATCTCGTTAGTTTCGAAGAAATTTTCATCTTTTGAATCGACTCCAGTCTTTTGTGATCCCTCTTCTTCACTCAAATAATCGACAATCTGTAGAATTATTTTGGAAACTGCCTCCATATAGACACAAAGTTGCGGATCTTTTGTTCAAAACGATTTCTATTACCACTGAGTAAAGTTCTCAATAATGTTCTTTATCTGTATTTAATATGTTCCTTTCCATTGCCGGTACATAAAGTTCAAAAAACATACATGTTTCCAGATGAGTTTCGGTGAACTTCGTTAGTGATCAAATATGAAATTATTATCAGTTCGTGTATTTAACTTTTTAGAACAATGTCTGATAAGAACTTAAGCTGAATTTGAAACAGTTTTCCAAATAATTGAACATACTTTCCCATTACGAATTATTTTCTGAACCTCCTTTTGCATTTTCCTCTTTCCTTTTTTCCTAAAACTTTGCAGAGTTTTGTCAGACATGTTTTGCTTCAGTAAATCCTGCATATCTTTCGAACCGTCACATTTCGTAAATAATGAACTGAAGACACTGTTGTTTGAATGTGTCGGCCTTCGGGTTTTAGCTGAATCATTTAGTTCTCCTTTATCAACTGATTTGCCTGGAAAACAATGTATGTAAATGAATGACGTTTGCCCCTCGCCTATTTACATTAATGATGTCATAAAGACAAATTTCCGAAATCTTGGTATGCTATTTCTTGAGAATTATAATAAATTCGGTCACACTCTTTTTCATTTTAAACTGCAGTGGGTGGGCTGATGAAACTCTCTGTAGCAGAAACAAGAAAAATATTCACAAATCCCAAAAAATAGTTGCCAGAAGTATCTAGTCTTCCAATATAGTATTCATTAAATAGAAGTACAGATGAGTTGGTCACAGCTTAAACTGGTTGTAAGTTGTCAAAACGTTAAGTCTGGTCAACCAGTTGGTTAAAATGAAATTACACAGTGCTCGATTTCTCGACTTGCACAGGAATGCATTTTTGATTTATTCCAACATGTCCAACTATTCCCACTCTACACAACGATTAGGAATCCACGCATGATATCGCTGATAAATTAATAAAAAAATACAGTGAACCTCTCTTACGTTTTCGACTAATTTCCTTTCCAGTTTCGTCCCTTATTGATCTTTCTTTTTTTCCAGTTTCATTCATTTCGGCCACTTCTTCACCGGATTCACCAGCCCTTTTAGAGGAAGGATTCGGCCCCAATACATTTCCATCTCTCTTCATAAAACATGGTCTATAGTCCTGAAATAGAAATGAGCTATTTGTATATAGTTTTCTAGAAACAACCAGAAACATCAGAAGTATTCATAATAAAAACACGTTCAGGACAAGCACTTTGCACTGTTTGATACTAGAGTTTCGGGAGCACATGAGTTGGGGATTTATCATAAGGATTTTCAATGTCCAATCAGAGAGATTAAATGAAGAAACTGGCACCGTTTTCCGGTAGATTAAGCACTCCATGCTCAGCATACTATCCCTTCTTTTCAAAAAAGTAGGAGATGATACCACTGAAGACTATATATCCCAAAAGTGAATGTGGTCTATAACTGAAGCACACACAAGTACAGAAGGTCGATGGTATAGCTATCTGGATCTGGATCTAGCAATTCCTTTGTGGAGACATAAATTTGAAAGTGATCTCTGTTTTATTTAACTCTACTTAACTTCACAAAAAAAGTCGGAACCATGTTATAGATGACAGATTGCACTATAATTTTATTCAATCAATTGAGGGAATAGTAAAGAAACGAATGTATTCCATCCTTGTAACAAAAACATATAGCTTTTGCTAATCATCTATCATAATGACAAGTAGCGACGATCATTTCACTGCGAACAGTACAGTTTTGTTTGAATTCCAAATGTTAAGTCTTCTTGGCTTACACTTCTGCGAACTGAGAAACATTGGAAGGTTAAAATAAAAAGTAACCAACCTCTGTCTTGTCATCTAGATCAGTTCCTTTCGCTTTTTCTTTATCCAAATTGGATTTAATACCACCTTTCGCATTTTTTTTGCGCAGCAGAACTTCATCTGAAAATTGAAACATGTCAATCAAAAATACTAAAAATACTTAGAAAAAGAATGATAAAGCTCCCACCATTGTAAATCCTAGTAAAATCGAATACACGATTCTTCTAATTTCTGGAATATCAATATTTGTCTTCGTTGTTCTGAATCCCTAGCAACGTAAAGATCTCTCCTAGGACCAAACTATAGAAAAATTGGAAACTAAATTAAACGGGACATGGTAATATTGCACACAAAAAGCCAATGAACTCGATCTGAAACCATCTTATTTTGAATACTTTCCAAAAATATTCATTGCTGTATATTAAAAATTCGGAATTCCCTTGCATGGGAAAACTAGTCGATGTTAAGGTCATCAAATGACTTGAAGTCTTACATGCAGAGAGTTCATTGGTGCTATCTGCTGAGTGATCACCATCGGATATAGTGAATTCTTTAGTACTTGCTGGATTTGACAATGTAGCATAGCTTTGACGTTTTGGAAATGAACGTTTTCCCTTCTTCATACCTGAAATAATACGTTTCCACGTAATCCTCATTATACCACGCCCTCTCTAATACTCACCCTCTTCCACACCTCCATTTATCCCCACCACTTTTTCACGTAAATGAACATCCGGATTGTAAATCCGGCATAATTGGTCACTATGAAAACAACCAGTGCCAAGCAGGAATTCTCCTTTATCAGTGTAATTATAGAGAAGGTAAAAGTGTCTTTAGCTCTGACTGTTCGAATTTTATCAATGGCATAGTATCTCCGACTATCCAATGATGAAAACATCGGCTGAAACTTCGTGTTGTTAACACTTTATTATCACTGATATCAGTGCCGTTAATATTACTATTAATCCTTTATCCCAGCAGATAAATTAAAATAAATGTTTGGATATGAGCCTGCTTCTGGAGATTGTTCTCTGGCCATGTTCGAGGTGTATAGCCAAGGTGTCGAGATAAAGACACATAGCAACAGTATATCAACATTTATAATATCCTGTCATTATTATTAATAGTCTAGCTGCTCATCTGTTTTGTCTTTTACGCAATCGATGAATGACGTGAGGGAGTTAGCGGCACTACAACACCATTATTCTATCACGTGTAAGCAACGTTTGTACTAGTTTCCATCTTTTTTTAAGAATGGATACGTAATAGTGATCGCTTATTTTCATGCTGATTATTTCGACATCATTCATCATTTGCCCATGCACGTGCACGTGTTTTTATATGATATGATACGTCACGCTGACACTACTTTCACGTCCCTACTTTTGTGTCTTCACGTTACGCGTCAGTTATAATCAGTAACCAATCATTTTATGATTTTAACTTAAACAAATATATTTCTGTCTTCTATTCGTTGCAAAATCAAGATTTCTTTGAATTTTTGCAGAAATATTGCTTCTCATGTTATTGTGTGAGAAATGAACGAATGGATAGATGACAACAGACAGACATAATCCATTCAAAATAGATTCTTTTCCCACAAAAAGTGTCGTTGGATGAAAGCGATAAGTGAATTGAGTGCATTGAAATGTGTAGCACCGAGCGGAGTACTGCTTGCCAGACTGGTTGATGGGCTCATTGTATCGACCGGACGACTGGGGCGTCTTTTGTCTTATGGCTTGACACAATTCAGTGACGCTCTCTCTGTAATATTTGTCTTTTCGGACGGATTAGTTTTACTCGAGAGTTGTCAACTGTCGCCTCATTAAAAACCTACTTCAGATCATCGAAGACACAGTTCTCTAATATAAGCTATTAGATCAAGCATTTTATGAGATCGATCGATAAACCCCCGCTATCATTATCGGGAGAATAGCGAAGATGATTAGCTTATTTCACCCTGACAAAGAAGGAGTTTATTTTCAATGATTAATCAATCTATGTGAGACCTTCCGACCACTACATGCGGAATGGTGTCAGAATATCCTGAATATGCGCTAGAATGATCTTTGTTCGTCACTCCGTTTTTTATCTGAAAGTATGCAGATTAGCGAGATAATTCTTGAATCGGTAATTTGCATTCTGAAAATTGAAGATTACTCATCTGAAAAGTAATACAAAGATGTCCGCTATCTTCTGAAATGTTTTTGAACGGAAATCACCACAAACAGAATAAATGGAACATTACTGAATTGCTTCATAATCAGCCCTCTTAACCATGTTCCAAAACAGCGTCTTTCAGTAATCCATTTGCATTCATCGACTTTCATTTTAAAACACGGACATTCCTTGTAATTCCGGATGGCTATCCTCAATAATCATTTGGCTTTTGACACGTAACAAAATGGACAAGGAAAATGGAAGGTACCAGCTGCTAGAGACACCTATGGTCTGATACGCTTTCCTGCATTTAAGTGTTGTCACTGTCGTCATTTGTTCGCTTTCCATTTTGCTCTGTCTTTTTGATATCTGCTTTGATATTTGATAGTATTGCAGACATTGGTGGTAAAAGTAAGAGTTTTATTTTACTTTTAAAGAATTATTCTATAGTGAAGATTGGTTGAAAAATTGGGGACCTTAAGAAAAACATATTTTTCCTTTTTTTTACAGTACCAAAAACAATCATTCTTGAACTGTTAGGAGGCTTTTGTACAAGCTGCGTTTGAACAGATTTCAGCACACGAATTGCTTTAGTATGAAATACAGGTGGTTTAGATAATCAGCTTCCAGGGTTGAGTCTACGTTCACTTCTACCTAGACATCTCTAGAATCTATCCAACGTAAAATTTTTAGTAATAATACGCTATATGCACTGCAAGCTGAGATTTTTCTGCAAGAAACACATGCTACCGCTGGCAACAGCCACAGATCAGTTGAAAAGTGCGCAATTTAATGCTTTTTTTTTTTTTCTCATTGCATAGTGCGTGAACCAGTAATGACGGAGTGAGTTCTAATTTTACTTATATTCAGTTGATGTAATACTGGGATATTCCTTTAATGTATGTATCCAAGTGAATAGTATTAGTCTATTCGTTCCAATTAGGGAAACTCTCTGGAATTACTCACAATTTCTCATTTCACTGCACTCTCTTCTCCTTCCCTTTCCTTGAACGATCATCCCGCTACAAACTCGATCGCAGCATCTCATTGTGATTGGTATAAAATGTGGACGAATCAATGATTGGCTAAGCAATGATTCGATTACATTTCTATGACGGCTAGAATTCTTCCTACAGATCAATTTATTATTTAGAAATATCACTGGAAATTATCGATTAATTTTGGATTAGTTTTAGCAGTCTGAAAAAACTTTCATAAATTTTTGAGAATTTTCAAATTATTTGATAATTGAATCTTCAAGATATAATCTAGCATTTCAACCATAAAAATTAAATTTCTTTTCGAAAAATTGGAAAATTCTTAGGATTTAAAGTTGTCTAGCATGTGTTCCATGCTTTTTTCAGTTTTTTTTGCCTTTAAGCTGTTCCTCATTTTCTTCTTATTTGAAATGCTTTAAGATGGAAAAGAAGAAAAAAAGACCTATTTTACTAAGTCTTGTTAATTGGAAAAATGCAGAATGAGATACGCGTTTCGAAAAAAATGGATTTCCCGTCCAACCAATTACTGTGGTGACAACTGAATAAAAGTCATCCTATTTCCATTTGAACATGTCCATTTCATTATTCCACATTCAATATGGGAATAGTTGCTTAAAGTGAAATACGATCATCACTCTTTGCGCTACGGTGTAAGCACAGACAGTTAAAAAAATTACCGAAGACATGACAATATACCTAATTGTAAGATTCTCTAAGAACAAGTATGATTGGAAAGCACTCAAATAGATAAAAAATTTAGGCTATTAAGGTTCTTTCTGGCGAGAAATTTTGAATTAGAAAAGTGAGCTTCAAATTTAGAGCTCTGTTGATTACTCAAGTTCCATTTTTTTAACGGTATTTCATTTTAGAGTGTTGTATCTGAACTGCAAACAATATCTTATTGTAAACGCCTACTTTCGAATAAAATGAAGCAAATAGACGGAGAAATTCTAATAGACTCTAGATTTAAAATCGATCCAATTTACATGTAACCGGTTAATAAAATCAATATATGTATAATATTTACATGAACCAATTTAAAAAAAATTCACCATATCTTTTTGTTATATTAAAGTAAATTGAAAAACACTTGAAATTTTGCGTCAAAAACCCTTGAAAATAAATCATGGTGAAAAATCATGACAAAAAAATCTGAAACTTTTGAAAAATCCCTTTAGCTAGCTTACAAACAGAAATAAAAACAATTTTACTAATATGGTAATTGCAATAGTGAGAAATAATTGAGAGTTCTAGAATGAATAAACTAACATTTTTCTCTCTGAATAATCCTTTTTCAATGTCTTTTATCTCAACCCTTGCATTGTGTATCCATAAAATCTTTTTTGATAATGCTCTAAATCATCGGAAATTTGGAATAACTATGTCAAGTCCGTTTGAAAATAAAATGCTCATGTAAATTATGACATCTTTAATCGTAATCAGAAACTTTGTTGACAAAAGTTTTCATCATAAGAATGTAAGATCAAGTTTTAAATGAATGCACTTTCTTCATTTATTCAAATAATTTGCATTATTAGTACGACAAATGTTTTTTTTTTTAATTAGCAACTTTTGTATTACTTTTAATTTTTAAAAAATGTTGCCGAAAATTGCACTTAATGTTGTCCATTTCATCATACACTTCCAGCTGCCACCCGTTACGTCTTAACAATCCCAGCTTTAGTGATTGAAATAACTTAGGGAAAATGTCTGACCATCTCAATCCAAAAGCAAAGGCAAAAAATGATCCTTGAGCGGTGCACCTTTGTCTATCATTCGTCCATTCTATCAAATGAATGAACAAATTTCAGACTGGGAAAAAATTTCAAACAAAAAAAATTTCAGACTGGAAAAGTAATTCAAATGAATTACTACAAGGAACAAATTTGAGACCGGGAAAGAAAGATTTCAGAATTTTACAAGACAAATTCAAGTTAAGTCCATGCAAAAGGAGTATAAGCAATATTTCAACAAGAGTAAAACTGTTTACTTGGCTCAGAGTATATATTTGGAAGACAAAATAGGATGAAGGAACGGCATGGATGAAATTTTGAAAATGAGAAAAGACTCAATTTAACATAATCCGAATTTTTGTTTTTGAGACTTTACTACATTTATGTCCAACCTTCTACTCTTAGCAGATGACACCCCACAGACATACACACATATGTATATATTATATATAAATATATACACACACACGCATAGCTATAACCTCATGACTCCCAAACAATGCTTTCCCCTCGTCGCCTCTCGTTAATGTTATTGCATAACTGCTGGCAGTCAATAAATAATTAGTGATTCCTATAGAACAGAGTTCCCTGATAGCACTTTTTTTTTTTTATTCACCTCCTCAACCAGTTTGCAAAATCTGCTCGTGCAGTAAAACATTCAACTTGAATGGCAGGACTTATCATATTGATTGAGGAAATGAGGTGATTCGTGTAGTGAATTTTTCAAGAATCCTCTCCAAGAAATATGCTAATCTTTCACAAAGATTTAAAATTTGTTTTTGAGACGAAAATATCAAAGAAGAAGAAGAGAGAGAAAGATTAGGCTGATCATTTGTGAAGCAACTGAAAAGTGGAAGTGTTTTTATTTTATAAAACAGTTTCCAAAAAATAACTTTCACCATGTCAAGTTCTTTTATGTTTCAAAAAGCAATTATTTCGAATTTATATGGCTCATGCAATGTTAATATTAAGCATTTAATTCGGCGATTTCAATGGACAATCTATTAAAAAAAATATATATATACGTTCGAAGAGCGTATTAGTTGCTCATGGGATTGATAAATACGAAGCTTATTTATTCAAATACACCAGATCCCGTTTGTCCTATCATTCCTTTCCTTCCCATAGCAAAAGTTTATTTAATAAAAATGAGTTTAAAAACAATCAGTCGCTCTCCTGAAGTTAACGTACCCAACAATAAAAATGACAGTTTTCATACCGTATTTGAAAGACAATTCCCATCTCATTTCCATTTACACAAATTTGGTAAAATCCTTTCACATTTTCATCATATATGAAGCGAATTGTCTATTGGATTAAAGGTTGGAAATGCTACTTATTAAGGAGGAGGACAGGAGGACAAATCATCGCTTTCACGTTTCCATCTTTTTATCACTCTTGCAAATATCATCTGAAAAATCGCATCTAAAATGCGCTTTTCTATTTCATTGTTCTATATTCTCTTATTTTATATATAAATTAATATCGCTACTTTTGGAAAGTACATCACGGGAATGTAATTAAAGATAAGTATTCAACAGGCATAATGAGATGCAAATGTGAAAGCTATAAAGATCAATTTAGGAATGTAAACTCAGTTTCACACTTACCTATTTCTTCCCAACACATTTATGTAATTTACTATTCACATCTCTTCAACCCTGTAAGCACTTCATTTTTTTTTTTTTTTTTTTACCAAACAGTAGGTGAAACGACAAATTCACGATAACGTCCATGATTATTTTTGCTTATCGTCCATGATTCACCTATTTTAAATGTCAAAAACCAAATGGCAAGATCATTACCATAATAGTGAATTTAGAACTCGTTCCTGCTTTCATTAAAGAAAAGTAGCAACGGCGATGAATGACGAAGGATATCCCCTTTCTCTTTCTCTGTCTTGTCACCTGTATAAGCTCCAAATTTGAAAATTAATTATCTTACAGTCTTGGTCGTACTTCTCCGTTTCAGAGCGCTCTGGCTCCTTTACTTCATTAGTTTGCTTCAGGAAAGCGAATTATTACTGTTAAATATCGATGACATTATCGATAAATCCTGAAGTGTTGGATAATAATAAGCTTTCCGATAATTCCACATCTCAGGAAATCTGTTCGAAGTTACTGTCAGAATATTTTCACTACCAAATTTTCTCCCGAAGATATGTTCAAAATCCGTTTTTCGCATTACAGAATCTCTGTCTTAATTTCAACAAAGTATAATCCCCGTTCTTCGTTCATTTATGACTATTTCCAAAATTTTCCCAAAATTCTTCTGTGCTCATATCAGCAGCTTACCGAAAATCAATTCACTTATTAGATAGTGCTTTGAAACCATTCCATCTAATGTCATTCGCCATTCCTGATGTGTAATCAATTCAGAATTTCAAATTATGTGGAAATGTTAAAAATGTTTCAGGATATTTTTACATCGAGTAGAGCGAGACTCACGATTTTGTCTTCCTGCATCTATAAAGAAAAAGTTGCATCTGCTGCATAATCCTTCAATACTTTACGTCGCTGTCGCACTTTGAAGTGGTTTTGGAACTGTTTAACGCTTCCGATCTTCACTAAATATGTCCACGCTGAATGCTTACCGGTTGTAAGTTTCGAATAAAGTAGATTAAAGAATTCAACTAAAAATGAAGATTTCGATTCTATACAATTTCTTGCAATCGATGTCGCCAGCAGAAGTGAGATCTTCGGACATCTACGACACTAACACCAAACTTACCACTTCAGTCTTAAAGTAAGGAAGTCCTTAAAAACCTTAAAGTAAAGACAGATCATCTACCCTTTCCTTCCCCAAAAATTCCGTTCTCATACTGAGACCAATTACCTGTTGCACTGCTAATGCACGCCACCAACAGTGCAATATTGTACCATTAAGGAGTCTCGGGTTGCGTCAGAATTCCGCTTCAGTTGGTTATTGTGTACATTCTGTTATTGATGTGTACGCAGGACTTCAGTAACTATCATACGCCCGTACTTTCAAACCTCTAAATGTCAACATTTATGCGTAGAACTTTTCTAGATGTCAAGTTCAGATGAAAATGTAAACGTGGATATGTCAACATGAAGTGACATTCTTAACATAAATTAGCGTCGTCTTTTAGAAGTGGCACTGATTTTTAGAAGTGGCACTATTACTGCTTTCATTAGATGATCTAGAAAATTAAACTGAAGTGGATCGATAAGATAGGCAGGTGCCAGTTACTACTCAGGTATGACCTTAACCTTGGCGGACAGTAGATAGTGGACGTTGACGCCATCAATAATATCACCGTTATATCCAGTTATATTTATTCCTTTCTTCAATTTTGTCTTCTATATCCATTTGTTTTACATTTATTTGCACTCGTTTTCATTTCACATTACTCAGATCCATTCATTTCCATTCTCTGCATTATTTTAAGCTTAACTTTCTGTTTAGAGTGGAAGTATTGTCGAAATGAATAGAATTGGCTTCTTTGTGAGGATTGACTTCTTTTCATTATCTCCTGCTCTGCTCTGATCATTTTTATTGAGTGAGATAAGGTGAAATACCATTCCATATCTGGACATTCAGTCCTCTGATTTGCTGAATAAAACATTTTGACTTATGGATAGTAATGATACGTTTTAGAACAAATGAACAAATGTACTCCTTTTCTTATTCCTGTTATTGAATTCTCTGGGAAGAGTTACTGGGGAGGCATGGACATTTTCTTTCTAAGCTTATTTACTTTTTGCTAGATTGATTGGCCTCGAAAATTGGCATTCCATCCATTTATCTATCCTTTGCATCCTTCGTGCTTTTCCTTTTCCTCTCTTCACCAACAATAATTTTGTTTTTCCGTAAATCAGCAAATTCATATGATGTTCCGACCTCCCAGGTATAACTTTTCCACCTTCCAATACTACTCTCATACTTTCATTCCGTCGGACATACTCTTCAAGCCTAGTGTGGAGAAAGAGACATTGTTAGTGAAAGTGTGCGCGGCGTTCTTAAAAACAGTGACAGCTCGAATAAGTAAACTTTCATACTCGATGGGTGTTGCTTGCCACGATCCCTCTTTACTCTCTTCATTCATTTCACTTTAAGGGAATTGCATCTTTTGCTTCTGTCATAGTGAATGCATTGGATTGGACTGCCTTTCTTTTTTTTATGATTACAAGCCTTGTAAATAGAAGGCACTTTGATGACCTTGATTTGATTTAGTCCTTAGAAGGATAAGTGGGTGGAGAGAAGGTCGGCTGTGTCATATTTTGTTGTGGTCATTTAAACAAGTGTAATGTCCTCAACGCTTCCTTCAAATATATCAGTTCCGGTCAACCTCGTATTGTTATGTAGACTGTAATTTCGCCACCGTAGGATGAAATAATTAGGCATGTGAATTACTGCATACTTCCACGACAAGCACTTTTTTCATGTTAATAGTGATAAAATGTATTGTGATAACAGTGGAAGGAATGAGTTTAGTAATCTGATTGTATGTTGCCAGGTTTAATATCCCCATACATATTGTATCTATGATAACTGAGAAGAATGCATTACTGCTTGAATCGGTTTATCAGCTAGTTTCCATACCTGTGTATATCCTAAAGAGTGTCTTTGATGATCCTCCAGGATATGCTCAGTTCATGTTCGGGGTTGGCATTCTTGTGTTTTTATATTCATAACGCTCGATGAATCAATACAGGCTGATGATGATGTTGGGAAGGCTATTATAGATCGATTGGGTATGTGTATGTGTGCGTATGTGTATGCGTATGTGTATGTATATGTGTGTTTGTGAACTTAACTGACGCGAAAAAGGGAAGGATGATGGGATTACCGTGCGTATTTCCATCTGTCACCGACAAAACGACAGACATATTTCGATTTTTTCTATTTCTCTATCATAAATATATCAAACAAACATTTAAATCTGGCCGCTTGTCTACTACTTCTCTGATCTTTTTCTTACTCTCTACTTATTGCAGCATTTCGTTATGCTGAGATATCCATAGCCTCTTAAGTAGCGGGAATTTCAACATCCGTCACCTTCCCAGCAAGCTGAGAGATATCTCAGAAGTCCAAAAGTTTCCAGGATTTTTCAATTTGAACAGGATTTTCTAGGAAAAAGATCGAGGATATCGGCAGAATGACAGCACTGTCACAGGAGGAAATCTTACAAAGTACACGTACGGTTGTGCAGGGTTTGGAAGCACTGAAAGATGAGCATGAATCGATCAAGGTGAATATGCAAATATTTCGAGGGTTATTCTAGAAGTGAACCTGTAATGCATGCACTGTTGCTAAACAATAGTTTCCGCTTTAGGGTACACTGGTGAATAGCATTCAAGGGTTGAATGCAGATGAATCTGCACTTATTGAAGAAAAGACACATATTGTGGACAGAAATTTGGAAATGTTACGCTTGGGCATCGAAGAAGCTCAGGTTAGAATTTAATTTTTTTAAGAAACAAAAATGAGCATATTTCTTCTCTTCATTCTCAATAGCTATCAGCAATAAGGTCGTCTGTAAAGATGCAGATTTCACTTTATAGAAAAGTAATTATAGGTTATGATGGCATTAGCTGGTCATCTGCAAACAGTGGAAGCCGAGAAGCAAAAGTTGAAAGCACAAGTGCGAAGACTTTGCCAAGAGAATGCTTGGCTCCGAGATGAATTGAATTCGACGCAGCAGAAGCTGCAAGCTACTGGACAGGTTTGTTACCATCTATCTGGGAACCAAGGAAAGTTCATTTCTAAAGGATTTTCTTTGTGTCAGGCTTCTAACAGTTAAATTGCAGCAAGTGGCACAGTTGGAAGAAGAAAAAAAGCACTTAGAATACATGAATTCGATCAAGAAATACGATGACCAGCAGGTTATTTTGAATATTATGTTACAAGGGAAATCTGTTCACTTGAACTCTCTTTTTGTTCTAGCAAATTTCATGTGCTGAATTTTGGCTTATAATTCATGCAGCAATACTTGGTCTTGAGTAAATGCTGGAAAAGCACGGTGTCTTCAAGGTAAAGATTTAACAAGGTGGCAATCGTCTTAAAGCAATCTTTTCTTTGAAAAAATGCCGCTAACTAATAAAGTTGATAAATACTCTAACAATGCAGTATCCAATATTTAGGAGACTGGAAATTTTAAAAACTTACAATGTTGAACAACGTTCCATTTGTGAAGTACCCCCTACTGGTTAGCACCTCAAACTCAGGAAATTCATGGGTCTTTATTGGGGTTGAAAATACATTCTGAATTATCATAATAAATTCAGGAGAATGACAAGACCATGGATCAGAGCGACAATCGTAGTGACAATACTCTTCAGGATTTAGGTTTTGGTCCAGAAGAAGACGAAGAAATAAGTGGTACCATATGTTTTTGATATTTTCTTTTATTATCGGCCAACTAATTTGATGAAGCTTTATCACTGCTTTTTTTGCACATCACTTATGAATACTTAGTTGTGTTTAGTGTGCAGTTGTATCATTATTAAAAACACTAAATGTAGTATTGATATATTGGTATGTTACGCCTTCATCTGAGTTTTGCAGTTACAGATTTTATTGTTACAGTTTATAAATCGTAGTGGTATAAGGTAGCTGAACACCGTAGAATAATGAGTTGCAGGACACATGACTGGACAGTTCGCACATCCGACACCAGCCCATTCAATGGCAGCAAGTGCATCTGCAGGCTACGAAATCCCAGCTCGTCTTCGAACTTTGCATAACCTGGTAAGGATTTCTTGGATTAATTTAGACAAGTTGAGTATTCTGAACTGATGTTAGAACGATTTACTGATAGTTTTACAGGTAATACAGTATGCATCGCAGGGACGGTACGAAGTGGCAGTACCGCTTTGCAAGCAAGCTCTGGAAGATTTAGAAAAGACGAGTGGACATGATCACCCAGATGTTGCAACAATGCTTAATATTCTGGCTCTTGTTTACCGGTACTTCTTTCAAGTTGCAAAAAAGGCAGTAATATGTGGTTATGATGTCGATCATTATTATGATTTTGGTTAAAGTAACTTTCTGCCAAGGTTATTTGAGAAATCGAGCATATTGATTTTTTTTTTTCATCGGCTGATTCCGATTATTCCCCAGAAGGTACCATGAATAAGAACTTCAGATCCTCTTGGTATGAAATGCAAGGTTAAATAGTCTTGATGTTCGGTATACCTCCCCAACATTTTACTATATGATTTCCTGTTCACAGTCAAGTTCAGTATTTCTTTCAGTGATCAAAACAAATATAAGGAGGCAGCCAACTTGTTAAACGAAGCATTACATATACGTGAAAAATGTCTTGGTGAAAGTCATCCCGCTGTTGCAGCAACACTCAATAATCTAGCGGTTTTGTATGGGAAACGGGGCAAGTATAAGGATGCAGAACCACTCTGTAAAAGGGCTTTGGAAATCCGAGAAAATGTTCGCTTTGTAATTGAGATTCTAACTTCTTTTGAAAAAATCTCTGAAATTTTATAGTAAATCTGAGGACTTTTTTTCCAAAATGCTAGGAAGTCGCTAGTCAATTGATGAATTTCATTGATGAATAATTGATGTTCCTTAGATGTTGCTTAGCAACATCTGGATTGTTGAAATTTCTACTATTTTGTTACTGCGTCACGTGTAATATATTTCTTAGATACAGTAATAGTTATCCATAAATTATAAGTACTTTTTTAGGTGCTTGGTGCGGATCATCCAGATGTTGCTAAGCAATTAAATAATCTTGCTTTGCTTTGTCAAAACCAGGGTAAATATGATGAAGTTGAAAGGTATTACAAGCGTGCACTCGAGATTTATGAAGCAAAGTTAGGTCCTGATGATCCGAATGTAGCAAAAACGAAGAACAATCTTTCATCAGCCTATTTGAAACAAGGGAAGTACAAGGTATCGCCTTCTTTAAATTATGCTTAAACTTGGGCAGAAATAATAATATGAAGTGATGTAAGCCTGTGGGCTGAATTCATGGCCTATTTCTCGTATTCGTCATTAGTATTAGTGAAAAATCTTTGCATGATTACTTTGATTGCATGGAGAAACTAGTAGGACAGTAATGTCCTACTATTTAGTAGTAGGACATTACTGTCCTACTAGTTTAATACTATTTAGTAAGATTTTAGATGTTACGAATGTTGAATATGTTGTATCATTTTATCGTATTTCCACTGAATTTTGTTCACGTTTTTCCGTTTTTTTCTTCTCACGTAAGATTTTCATATGTTTGGAGGAGTTTGTGCCTTTTTTAAAGTATTTCCTGCTTTAAGCAGTTTTCAATAATTCTTTACTTTAAAGCTATGACAGTGTTTCTTGTGACAAAATTGTGAGAGTATTTCTTCTGACGAAGTATTCTAATCCACAAAGTTTTCAGGATGCTGAAATCCTTTACAAACAAATCTTGACTCGAGCTCATGAACGTGAATTTGGGAAAGTAGCGGATGACAATAAACCAATTTGGCAAATTGCTGAAGATCGTGAAGAGAATAAGCATAAAGGAGGTGGTGATACAAGCACATATCAGGAATATGGTGGTTGGCATAAAGCTGCAAAAGTTGACAGGTGATCTGTTAAATATTGAAATTCTGAGTTCATCAATTCCATTCTTTTTCTTTTCTGTGGTTATCCCTCATTTTCTTCTTCTTGAAAAACTTTAACATGAGTACTAGTTCCTTTTTCGAATTACTGAAAATGGATAGTCTGAATTATGTTCTTTATCCAGAAAGTTTATCCTGCATCATAAATTATGGTATTTGATATCATAACACCATGATATCATGAGTTATCATGAGATTTGATATCATGAGATGTCATAACACCGCTTCTTTTCATATACTCGTTTATTCAGTTTTTCATCAACTTTGCAACATTTCAGTCCGACAGTAACCACCACGTTGAAGAATCTCGGAGCGTTGTACAGACGTCAGGGAAAGTACGAAGCGGCGGAAACTCTTGAAGATGCTGCTTTGCGAGCCAAGAAACAGGTAAGTTGTTCTGTATTTTTGGTTTAATCTCGTAAAGGAAATGCATCTGCTGAGCCTCAAGATTTCCTCATTTATTCAGATATTAACTACTAAGAAACAGGTGACTGGGGATGACTCCAATATAAATATTTTAATTCTTAGTTTATTTTCAAAAGCTTTTAGCTGTTGCGACAAATTGCATTTCAAGTATTCGTAACATTTTAAGCTCTATGCAAAAATTTTATGTGTCATCTGATTTTCGGAATGTTGATAGTACTTTAACAGTTTCAAGTCATCTTATGCTTATCTTCATCTTCACATCCCTTGCATTTTTCTGTGCGGAATTAAATACTTCGAAATGCTATTTAAAAATAGGCAGATTGTTTGTTAAGCTTTGTAGTGCTTGGATGCAGCTCATCAGGCGAAAGTAACTCGCTTGATTGCCGAACATACAACTGGTTTATCACCACCTCATGGAGGTGTTGAGGTTTGTTCAAACCGCTTGTGTTTATGAATATTGTCTTCTCCTATTATATGCATAAGCTTTTGCTGAATTCAGTGTTTTTTTGTGTTTTTGGTGTTCAGTACCATATTATTGCAGAAAAATGGAGGTACTCCAGGATTTACTAAAAATGTGATGAGAGAAGGGATTCTTTGATGTTTTTTGAAAGTTTAAGAATCATTTGAAAACATAATTCGGAGAACCCTAATTTGAGTTTTTCAGGCTAGGGTTACTTTTGCTGAATGAAATTGAAGTTTTTTAAAATGATGCAAATGTTGATATATCTTCTCTATATTTATACCTCCGTAAGTACCATCATGTTCTACTGATAGTAAAATATAGGTCAGTAACGCGTAGACTTCAAATTGCTATCAAATCGTATGACATATGTCATTTGTTACCTTCTCCTGCTCGCGATTCCTGGTAGTATAGAAAATGGTATACTTCCTGCTTTACTCTTGATGTCATAACCTTAAAATATATAAGTGCGGCAAGTTTGTGGACCTCTAAATCGATGTGAATTTTCCTCTTTTTTAATTTTTTGATTTCTTGCATGTGTGAATTTTGTTTATTGTGTTGTCTAAGTCGAAAAAGCTTTTACACTCTAATATATTTGGAAAATTGATCCTATCCTGCTCTTTTCTGTCACTGTCCTTTATTCTTCAAGTTTGACAATCATTACTTTTTGGATAAGTTACAGTCTTTCTTTCTGGAGGGTAGTGATGAAACGAAATACCGAATTCTCCTATATCAAAGTAAAATCTCAATATTTCCTGTTTTTGTTAACTGTTGTGTTGTGAATGCTCTCCCTCTCTGGTTTTGTCTTGTTATGGTTTCTTTCTTTTGCTGAGTCCTGAAAAAAAAACCAGATGATTGTTTGGCCTAATGAATGTAGCGTATAGTTTTTGATTATTTGCAGCATGAACCGCCTGTGTCTGGTCATCAGTCAGCGTTAACAGCCACTAGTACATATGCAGATGATTCGCTAATGTCTTCTGTTGTTGCTTCACAAGCGTCACGTGGTATGACCCAATCACAGTCATCATCTGGCTTAAAATCACGTTTGTTCAACGCACTCGGTCTACAACAGCAACAACAGCAACTGCCGTAAATTTGACTTTGGAGTATCTCGAATATTCCTAAACCATCACCTATATCTTTCCTTTCGGTTTGTTACGCTATATGCTAATTTTTGTTTGTTGTTTTCGTTATTTTCTGTGAATTTCAATCTTTTTTCTTTTGTGGTGGTTATCATTCGCTTTTTATGGATTTTGATGGAAAACTACAAAAATATAGCTAGTTGTTTTAAATACTTCAGTATTCCATGCTTCGTACCTGAGTTCTATACTTCGATTTTTCTGGGAAAGGAGTTCTTTTTTTTTTACTTTTTTAGCCTAATTGTTTTCCTTTCCATGCCATTACATCGATTTCACCGTTCTGGAATTTCAATAACCTTAATAACCTTAATGTTCCCACCTTTCTCACCATTTCGTTAATTAGTTAGGTGAATTCTATTTTTGTCACTATTTTGTTAGGTCGTCGTTTATAGAAATGTGGATGTATGCCGGTTTGCTTCCTTGTGCATTTTCAGTTTCTCTTAAGTGTGATATTATTTTGGTTTGTGGAGAATTTTGTGCCCTTTAAATTTTGATTACTGAACAAACCTTGTTCATGCAGTTTAAAGAATTTAAATGATCTAAATGTCATTTCTTGCCAGTTTGGCTTTTGTATAAAATTTCGTAGAACTTGATTTGGTCGTCGTATTTATGCGAAATATTGCTAGCTCTTTTACTGTGCCACAGCCGTTCCCAATTCGTTAGACTTCGGCTGAGTCGAGCGCAGATTTTCTAAATTACGCTGTTCGAAAAAAGCCATTCTAGGGTATGCCGATAGGAACTTTACATTAAATGGGTGAAAAATTAGATTAAGTGAAGACGGTAGTATATGATAAGCTGGTGATATAAAATTGGTGGTATAAGTTCAGCAATTACTAAAATCATGAGATCTGGTAGACATCATTGCTAAATCAGCAGTGTTCACAGTCATTATTGCAAACACTTTGGAGGCTGAATTGTGGTATATTTTGTGCGGTGACTTATTTGTATTAAATTTTCAAGGAAGAAAGTAATAATTTAAACTTGGGGTAGAAAGTTCACATAGAAAGATTTGGAGAATCTGGTGAGAGACTCGAAAATTTACCAACTAGACCTCCAGATGTGAGTTGCATGTTGCAGTCGGAGATGAATGGTAGTGTTGGTTTCGAAATGACCAGTGTTTGGATTTGTTTTCCTTTCCATTTTTTGAAAGGGATTTTCGGGACTAGATTTCAAGTTTTTAAAACTCATGGGATACTTGGTAGGCGAACTCTTTTATTTTCAGTTTTTGGCGGAGCGCGGGAAGTAACGTGAATTCAAATATTGGTCGTTCGATGGTTCTTTCTTACTCAAACAACACGGTGGTTAGTTCAGGGGTTAGTGTGGTGGTATTGTAATGACTGTTGTTGCATGTAATAGTTTTCTTTCATTTGCGCTAAAAAATTTCCTTTCTGCATAGAACTGGTTACTAATTCATATATGCCATAGCTTGGTTTCTTTGGACGTAAGGAGTTAAAATTTGTTTTTTGAATAGGTTTATTTCTGATGGGAGCATCCAGCTTATTTCTTGACTCTGTCATTTTCTTATTCTGCACCGACAGCCACATTTGAAGCTCATAGAGCTTGTAGCATGGGATGAAATAAATTGACCGGTGGTTTCGCTACCTCTTTCTCCTATAAAAGCTGTCTGGCTAACAAACTGTTGTTAAAAATAAAAAATACTTTTCTTTCTGTGAACGCCAAAATTTACCGAAGTAGTAAAAGTAAGCTGTTTTCAAATGTGATTTTAGTGTTTATAAGGAAAGAAATTCCATTTCCCATAAGTTTGAATCATTGTTCGAAAATTATTTCAACCATTCATATGATCGGTTAGATCAACCGTTTACCAGATAGGATCTTTTTTGACTAAAATATCCTTTCATTTTTCATTTTTTACATATATGATTGAAATATCTGAGATGTATAATTTAATTTGTTTTATTAACTTAGTCTTAGAAAAGAATTGTAAAACATTCCCGAAATTTCTAATTCTAAGAATTTTTCACTGTAGAGCATATATATATGTGTAATTTAGTTTTTTTGTCAACTTACTGCTCGAAACTTTTCATCGTTATATTATCATATAAAAATTCTTAATCATTTCAGTCCGTTAGTTTTCATTTAGTTATTGCTAAATTATTATTTCGTCGATTACACAAGACTTTTCTAGTCATCTCGAAGCTTTCTCTTAAAATTGCATTCTTCGAATCGTAAAATTTTAATAATCAGGCCGCACACTCGAAGCAATGGGAAATTTATTCTTATTTTGCTTATTGCTGTTTGCTGTGATAGTCCTTTCAATATTGTTCAACATTTCAAAGTTGCATTGATGTTGAAAACTTCACAATAAGAGGTGTGGAGCTAATTAATTAAGTCATTAATTTAGTTACTTGACAGTGCCCACTATTAATGAGTGGTAAATGAACATCACAATTAGAGCGTTTCATTTTTGCTTTTATAGTAAAAAAAAAAAAAAATTAAAATGGTAGATTAAAAAAACATAGACTAAACTTAGATAGATTAATATAAACTTTGTTCAGTGACACAGTAGTAGTAGTCCAATTTTGTATTACTTTACGAGAGATTTAGTTCCTGCCATTGAGCCTAGCCTATTCAACAGAATTTGCTTAATACACTTTTTGAACTTTGAAATTATGATTTTTTAATTTGAACAAATATGAAAATTTTTAGATCCGATTTTTTAAATAAATTTGAGCTTAATTATCTGGAAGTGATCACTAGCCATAAGGTTGATGTATATCATTCTTGATACGAACAAACTTCTTAACGTGAGCTTTATCACGAAATGCTAATTATTCTAATTTGGCATCCGGTAATCTCCAGACACTTACTCTTTTTTTTTTGCTGAACACATTGTTTTCGTGAATTGTGTGCTATTTATTACTTTTGGTCTTCGCCACAACGATCCACAGCGTCATGTGGTGCCTTAAATGCTGTATTCCAATGATGTATTCCAAGTCGGGGTTTGACATAATTTGGAGATCCTTTCATCTCTGCATATGCTCTTTTTCATGTTCTGAACAATTGTCATCATTTCGTCATATTAATATTTTTTTAGCTATCTCGAAGTTCTTTAGATCTATATGCTTTATTAATCCCTTCGAATTTTTTCTAATCTTCCAAGCTCAACTTCCCACTTTTCATCCCCTTCTCTCTTTATATTGGATAACAATAATCATCCTCACTTTCATGTATAACCTAATGGATTCGTTCTTTATCCTCTGATAAGTAGATAAAAGACTTTTATTCTTATCCTAAAATTTAACGAAAGTTTCAAGTTATCAAAATTTTTTAATCCCTTCAGAAATTTCAATATGAAGTCTTTTTCAAAAGTTCAAAAGTTTGTAAGGAATTTAGATGTGATCAAATAGTTACTGTTCATTTTTTTTTTGGATGGATATCTCATGTTTCATATTATTTTGATCACTGTTTCGTTTTCTATTTCTCTCTCAATGAAAAACACGTATGCAGAAAAACATCTCGATTATGAATATGTTACGTAGGGGTCGCTGATGCCAAGACCTCAACAACAGTTTTGAATGTGTCAACTAAAATAGCTTAGTTTTTTTTCTTACTATAAAAGTTTGCATTGTTGTATGCCTAACGTGCCGTTTCCTTAGATAATTTTTCAAATTCAACTATTGCAATACGCAAGTCATTGCCGGAGCGTGCAATATCGGCGTATTGTTGAACATGAATATTACCTTGGGCGAAATTAAGCAATTGTGATAATTGTGATAACTATGGGAATTTCCGAAATTGGTATTTTTTCGGAAGTTTTTTCCGAAAAAATTCTGATATTTTAGACGGTGTCTTCTTACTTATTCTCCGTAAAAGCATACAGAATGCAACAAAGATTTTTCTTGTCGTTATGTGTTCGTTTGCAGAAGCTGTTTGGTCGTTTATTTTTGCCTTTAATTAAATGCTTTGATGGCAACCGTTATTTGGAGTGATTCCAAAATTCGTTCTAATTCTCGCCAAAGATTTATATGCCAAGATTTATAAAACAGGTGTTTATTCGAAATCATCTGGATGAAAGAGTATGGAGAACCAACCGAGTCCTATCTCCATAATTCAGCTCATCCTAATTTTTCTGCTTTAATTTTAATTCTCTTCAAAGACATGGGGCAAAATGATGGGTCATTCCTTCAACTGAAGTATTGAATTTCGAGCTTGAATTTTATGAGATGAATTTCCTACGCTGCTGTTGAAGTATTGTCATATAATGTAACAGTGTCTTCTTCATATTTTTTAGAGTGCTTTGCAAATTGTGTCTCCCAACGAATGCCTGGAATAATCCTGCAACTAATTCATTCACCTAAACCAAATAAGTTGTGTTTTAATAAGCTGCACATGCTAAACGAAATTCTGAAGATTTCGAACATTGAACATAGACAGCAATTCCCTGTTGCACTTCAGAACATGCCGACATTTCACCATTAGTTTTCGGATTCATATCAAGCCGTCAAATCGTCCCTCCACTATTTTTTAATACAGCTGTAACAAATTAAATTTGCTACAGGTTCTAAAAAATAGTTCTAAGCCTTTTGAAGAAATAGCTCTACGCCTTTACCTGTTGGCATGTGCAATTTCAATGCTTCCCACTACTTTCGTTTCCTTTTACTGTTGTTTTGTGATAAAGCAATTTTACATGTCTTGAACTATCGAAATGCAGCTTAATTTAGAAAAGTCAATTCCATCATTTTGACTAAAAATCTTTTATTACATAACCCCAGTTGGTGCCCTTAGCTTTTAGACTGCAGTGTCACTAACACATAGCAGCAATAACAGCAACAACCAGTGATTCGACTGTGGTAATACTAATAGTAAAGCAAACAAGTAAATCACAGTGATCCAAAGTTTCATTTCAGGAAACCAATCTCCTATTCACTAGAGAAATCAATCGAAGAAACTAAAATTTATTTAATTCAACCCATGGTGACTTGTAAACATCTGGAAGGGATCCTAACCCTAATCACAAAACCGAAGAAACTTTGATAAATACGAAGAATAGCATGAACAATTATATTTGCTACCTTTCAAGCAAAATATCCAAATTTTTCTGCACCTCCTGCAACATCATATACAATTCTACAAGTCTGTCTTTGCTCAGCTCGACAATTTTTGAACCCCGGTCAGTATCAAACTGTACAATTGCTTCTGCAGCATGCATCGCTGGATTATCGCTACTAGAACGGAATAAAAATTTGAAAGACTTCTAAAAAAATCCGTATTTTAACGGTGATTTTTTTACAAAAACTTTTGCTCGTTACTATCACGATGCCTGGGAAGCTGAGTTAAGGACTGTGACTACTAGCAGTAAATATTTTTTAGATATTAACCTACCACAAATCATCCATTCTCGCTTCAAAAAGACATCTCTATATCTATGTACAATTACAAAAAGTTCTATTATGAAAAATGAATAGATTAACCAGTAAGAACGAACTTGCCCTATATTCCCATCTCTCATCTCTGCCCTTATTTAAAAAGTAAAAAGTTGAGTTCCAAAATTGATCCAGTATTACCTTGCAACATTCATGCGTAGCGTCCATCCGACATCTCTAACATTAGGGCGTCCAGAAAACGAAATATTACGCAACTGGTCTGAAACCGTCAAGCCGCTTTCCGACCAAACTTTTACGACTGCATTTCTTATTTCAGCATCAAACCCAACCTGAAAATATCGAACTACCATAGCTGCTGAATGACTGCATTAATCAAACTTGTTAAACCTGCTGTCACTTAGTTCGGAAATGTTGCACAGCATTCCATAAATTTTGAAATGATAAACGTCAAATGACAAATACAGAAGGAATTTCATACAACAAGACTTACTTCCTTAAGATTTTCAAGCAAAGGCTGCAATTTGGGCTGATAATATGCGATGTTTTTCCATAATTCGCTTATAGTCAACTGAAAATTGATGAATTGTAGCTGCTCTACTCACCCTACCTTTCTCTTTTTTTTCGCAATACAATTTATAAAGCTATTCCACGCACAATGCGAAATTTTGCTTCCTTCATAAATAATTCACTGCGACATGTTAGCTTCATCAACAAGTAATAGCAACAAAAGTGTTCAGCAGGATTATTAAAAAGCTAGAAAATTAAAAAAAAGACTTGGGAAATTTTCAGAAACTAAAGATAGGAAAGTGGTGAGGGACTGAACCTTTAAAATGGAAGTTTAAAACTGGTAATAAATGATAAGTAAAGATAAAGATAAACCTTACCAACAAATTCCCAAAGATAAATTTAAAACATCTACGGTAAAAATGGATTTAAAAAAGAAGCTTTATGGAAATGATATTTGAAAAAATTGAAATTTCAGATCTACAAAAGTACGAACTTACGAAAACAGCAAGTTCGGATGCAGGATCAATTTGTAAATCTCCGAGCAACCTTTTTCGTTCTTCTGCATCCAACATATCTGCGAAATCAACACTGCTCGGCATTCTTTCCAATAAGTGTTGTGAAATTTGTTTGAATTTTATTGGACCTAATTGAATAATTTTTTCAACTGCTCCTTCAGCTCCAACCGGCAGAAGTTTCAATGTCTCGGACGGCATCACAATTCTGGGCTAAATTTCAAATTAAAGTATTCCAAACAACAAAACCTACAACACAACCCGAGACATCCCATACAACCCTCCGTTGCCTCAAATTGAATGGAATCAAAAACCAATGAATAATTGCGGCCCCTACCTTAACTATTTGAAACTCTTCTTCTCACATAATCCATAAAATTCAATTGACCAAATTTAGAGAAATGAGTAGGACATCATATCTGTTTGTCCTTATATCCCATTTCTTGTTATGCTCCCTCTCTCTTTCCCTGGAAGTCAGTCTCCAATGGCACGTTTTTGACATATATATAACCGGATAGTTTTCTTTTTTTTTTTGGCTCGTAATGATATGTTCTATTTGCTAATACAGCCCAGTACTTTCACTAGCTCTACATAAATACCCATATGTACGCATAGCTTCTTCTACGCATCTCCCAAGTTGAAGTTCTCTTTTACAGAATTATTTTGTGGGCATTTTGTCCGTTTCCGTGACATATAGCTACTAAAAATTCATGTACATATAAACTGTCATGAAATCGAAAATTATCGAAAAAGTTCCTTTCTTTATTTTTATTCCTCCTTAATTAATTATCCGGACTTGAGCCTATATATTATTAATTAAATTTGACTTAAGGTTAAAGATGGAATAAGCATCACCTTTCCAATATCACTATGTCGAAATGTCACCATGGAAACAAGATATAACTATTTATCAGTGAATGATAATAAGCATTGCAGATATGATCGCGATTATGTAGGAGGAAGTAAATTCCATAGTGAATTCCAACTGGTGCCACAGGATCACGGTAAAGGAAACAGGAAACAACGAGTGGTTGGTGTGCTGAATTCGTAAAAAGGAAGACAACTAATCTCTTGGGCTCTCAATGTAACGGTCTGTGTTTTTCATGGGAATAGAAATTCGGAATTGAATGTCATTAGTCAAAACAAGAGGTTAGGATAATTTGTTTGCTATACTGACAACATCTTATTAAAAGTCTCAAAACACTGCTAATTTGTGCAGTGTACTTGGAAACTTGAAATCTGAACGAAACATCGTCAGTTAGATGCAAATATGCCTTATGATTCATGTGATGTAGTGTGGAGACATTGGGCTGATTGCCTCTCGATTGTTTGCTCCGAATTAATCAAGCAGAATTGGTTACTGATGTTTCTTGACCAAATACTTATTGAACGAAGCCGTTTTTCTTATGCTTTTTCCTAAGAAAATTGAATTGTTGAAGTGTATCGTTTCAGTCGGTGATCTGCACGTCGATTGCGATTTATACGCTGATCATGATCGAGTTTCAAGATGATAATGTCAGTTATAATAATGTCAGTTATAATGTCAGTTATTCCATAATGTCAGTTATTCATTATTTAGTACATCAACCAAGCCACACACTATAAAAAAACCAAAATTATAAATGTTGCCATTTTAATCGAATATTTGTTAATTACTACTATTTATCTTTCTACTCCACACGCCTCATTTATTAAATATAAATATTTTCCAAACCACTGACACTTATTCTGGTTGGTGTCGGAAAAATTCTGTAAGTCGTAACGCAAAATTGAAACAATGAAGAAGAGAAGATACTGCTGCTACAATATATTGCATATACGCTCATTGCGCCTATGTGCTCTTTAATAGAGCCGCTAATTGTGATCATAGATCTGACCTCAGAGTTTTGCCTAAATATCTCTACTTCAGGAAGGTCCTGAGCGTCCTAGAAGGTCCTGAGCGCCAAATCATTTTGTAAAGATGCATTTTAACAGGTCGGTGGGTTAGAGGATATCGAGCGGCATTTGGTCTATGGCTTCCCCTTTTGTTTCAATTGATATTGTCATTGAATTTGTCTTATTAATATTGTGATTGTTGGATTCGTTTCTGTATTATCGAGTTTGAGGAATAAAGGTTTAAATAAAGGTTTGAGGAATAAAGGTTTAATTATCCAAGTTTGAGATTGAGAAAATCGGCGACAGTTCGTTGATGTGAGAGCATGAGTCTTTTGTGGAGGGGTGCGCTGTATTTGTTGTGTTAAATGTTATAATGCATTCCTCCTTCCTGTCATTATAATTCTTTAGGAAGCACAATTTTATTCAAAACAAAATCAATAAGTTTAAATGTATGAAACTATCAACCATAGTGAGATTTCCTATGCATTTCTTATTCTTTCCATTGCTTATCCTTTAAAGGGTCCTATTTTAGCATTCGACGAAGTAGGGTAGTATGTTTTTACACACGGTAGCAGTGTTAAGTCTGGTTTTTGCAGCAAAGAGATGATTAAGCACATAAGTTTGTAGACAGCATTTGAAGTGACGGTGAAGTGGTATGACGATATCTTGCTTTTCACTAGTGCTAAGCTTTTTGAATCATGTAGCATCCACATATTTATAAAATTTTTTGATTTGTAATATGAATTTGGAATACATAGGAATATTACTTTTTTACTAATTATTTTGCTCAAATTGAATGTTTCGTAAAATTATGATTCTAGGTAATTTTGGAAAATGGAAATTATAACAGTACAGCAATTTGAACACAAATTTCCAATGGAATTATTATAGTATGGCTTCTGATGAATTGCTGCAGAATAGCTTGCCACTGATAAATTCAATGTTGGATTCTGATGATATCTTTCAATGGACACTTTCCATCTTATCTGTCTAAGAGACAGCATATTTTTAAGGACACGCACTGTTCATTTGAATGAACTTGATATGGTGTCATTTAATTAGTAAATTTTTTACCGGAACAACAGGATGAAATTCAATTTTACGTCTTCATCAAGATTTATAAATGAAAACAGAATTGATGGACACAAATTTAGCTACTTGTTGTTTACATTCTTTGCGAATTCCTGTTTATTGCACACATTTTTGCTTGTGTAGCTCCGTCGTTATGAAAATTTTTTCAGAACGGTATAAACTATACAAGCAAAAATTGTTTTTTTTTTCCATATCATGGAAGCCTTTCTTGCACGAATTCCCGGATTCTTCGACATTACATCTACTTGTTATATCAAAAGCTCTTCGTTCACATCTGGGACTCCTAATTTTAAAACTCACTTGAAAAAAGATGGATCAAGAATGAATAAAATCAAAACAAATGGGTGTTAGCACACGGAAAATGCTCTCGTTTAACAGTCAATTCAAAGATGTGGCATCGAGATGTGTCTCATTTTGCTTGATGTAAGTCAGTTTTGAGCCAAATTTATTTTCTTCAAATTTTTGCAAAAGACTTAAAGTGTTGTATTTCTTTTTAAAAGCTTTAACTATTCCAACAATTTTTCAAACAAAGAGCAAATTTACACAGCATAAGTTCAACCGTTTTAATCTAATTTTATCAAGTCATATTTTAATCCTATTCGATTTAATCGGTCAATCTCCATCTGATGTAATGTTTTTTTGTTTCCTTTCTGTAGACTGTGTAAAGTGTGCTTTGTTTTTTTTTTTTTTTTTTTTTTTTTTTTTTTTTAATTTGCAAAGTATATGAAATATAATGTGTGATATTCATTTATTGCAAAAAAAATATTCTGGAATCTACTCAAAGATCTCCAGTAATCTCACTCTGTAATTTTGAAATTTAGAAGTTGATTATTTCCCTAAAGAAATTTGATTTGATTTAATTGAAATTTCGACAACTAGTGGAAAATCAAATCCGGGGTTATTTTTTTCCTTGTAACTTGCAAAGATTGAGGAAACTTTCCGGAATATTCCCATCATCAAAAAAAGCAGCTTGAAAAAAAAGCGACAGTCACTATCTATTCTAAGGCATCATTAAATAATATTATTATTTAAGCACAAGCAATTTGAACAGAGTTACTTTTGGTGATATTACATGAAATCAAGAAAAAGTGCGGTCTCCGGAATACGAATATCAATTAAGCAGAGCACCACTTTTGAATGAGTATTGCTTTTCATCACATAAGAGTTCTCTGAGAAATTGTAATTAAGATAGCACGAGCTTGCTGGTCTCTTGATTTGTAATGTAGATTTTTTAAACTTTCTATTACAGTTTGAAGCATGCTTAAATTGATCGCACTAGTAACTTCTTTCTAGACATCTAGACATACTGCCAGTTTACCTATTTGCAGCATAAATTCTTCAATAATTTAACGTGTTTAACAAGTTTTGCAGGATTATGCAGTGAATCTCGTAAATCAAAACGCATGGTTAAATCACTGGCAGCCCTGTTGATGACAATCTTAATAATATGAATTAATTATCATAAAAGAATGATTTCAGAATTGTTGAAAAATAGAATATATAATGATCACGGAAAAAATGTTTTAATTCTCCAAAAATTAAATTTGTTATCATCTGATTTGGAAACAGTGCATTATGCTTATAATCACAGATCAAAAACAAATGCTTCTGAAAAAAAGAAAAATTGTATATTAACACTAATAATACGAGACGACTCATTATTTTATTACTCGACTCATTATTTCCATTCTATTAATTAATTATAGTAGCAATAATGATAATAATGATGATAACGAATGATAATAATGGAAGAAAAAGTGAAAAATAGCTATTGTCCCACTAATTATTTAGTTTGCAACCAGGATATGGGGATCTGTACTGTTCCATGATCTTCATTAGGACTACAGATATGAGCTGCAAGATGAATGAATTCATGTTTTCTTTGCCTAAAACAATTCGAAGGATACCGTTTACTATTAAACACTTAACCCTTATTACAGTCGCACTGATATCGGCTAAACACACATTCATCATCATGCAATCATGCCAATCACACTTTTATCAAGGTTAGTTTCACTTCCGGTTAATGCTTGCGTAGTGACTAAAACTACAGTACCCCCACTTCCACTGGAACGCTTATCACAGTCGCACTAATATCAATCTATAGAAGTAAATATACAACGAAGATTAAATTAAAATTAAATACACAACGAAGGTCACATTGAAAAGGTTACACTAAAATCTCCCATTATTAATTTATATCACTTGTCTTTACTTGACTCGAACAAAATTTGAAGTTAAAAATGGAAACTGAACTTTGTCAACGGCATATCAAAACAATAACGTATGATTTTCTGCGTGAGAATACCAATCTATCGAAGCAAACATACAACGAAGGTTATATTAAAAACTTCTTGGTTATAACCTGGGATGACAAATAATATTTGAAGGCTCAGATCTACGCTTTAACAATAATGGTGCGCTTCAACCTTTCCTCTCATCGTTGTCGCTGAGTGTTTGGGAATTTGCTAGCGCACAACAGAATCATAACTTTGCTTCTTTAAATGCTAATTGGTCAAGCATCTTATAACGTAATTAAATTTCAGTTTGAAAAACTGTCATTTCAGTCCTCTGCGAATGCTTCGAATATGAGTTATCAAACAGTTCTTGTGTCTTGCCGATTCCGCCTAATTGAATTTCCTTGACGTTGTTCCTTATCTAAACTTTTTCAGTTCGATAAAGGGTTGCTTCTATAGATTCTTTTTTTTCTACTAAATTTTCTCTAAAGAGTTTTAGAGGCGAAAATAAGTTTTAATTCATATGTTGTCATCAGAATCTGGTTAAATTTATGGTTTCGTACTGACGTTTGTCGCCAAGGTCAAGGGTGAAAGGTTGGCCTAAAAAACGATAATGCTACATTCTTGGAAGTTTTGTACAAGAGATAGTAATAAATTGGAAATCAAACCGGTAGATAAAAATAGAATTATCTTTGTGAATTTAGTATAAAAAGAAAGAGAAATGGAACAAAAGTGACAAAGAGGGAGAGAGAACTGGAAGCAGGAAGCCAGAGATATGGACTGCTTAGACAGCAGTACGGAAATAGAATCAATCATAAGTTTAGAAAGTAGGAGAGTTGCATTTTAAGCGGTATGAGAAAATGAAATCGTAAAAAGTAATTCACCTCTGAAAGGATCCCAACTATAACAGGAGATGCTTCAGCGGAGTCCGAATCTGCCAAAATTTGAAATTTTATGAAAATTGGAAATTGTATGCCAAACAGGCATCAGATAGCAAATAAATAAAGCTGAAAAATGGACGAAACATTTGTTATGGTTGGGAAATTGATTTAATCAAAGAAGAAAATAAGAAATGTGCGTATTTTTGAGTGCAAATGTTTTATTTGACCCTTACCTGAAGATAGAAATAAGAGATTAGATGAATTGCAGTACTTTTCTAAAGATTAGATGAACTGCAGTAATTGCAGTACTTTACTAAATGCTTGAACTATTTTTTTTCCTTTTTTTGATACACTTTTTTGTGATTTAACTACAAAGAAATGTCATTTTTCATTGCTGTCCTAATTGTAATTCAAATTGTAACAGAAGGTGACAGCCAAATGATCAGTTGTTAAAAGAAATTTGGAGAATATTAATGAAACGTCTATCGTTGATAAATTAATTGCAGAAAAAAAAACAAATAGTTTCCTTTCTTCAAAGAAACTGATTTTCTGAAGTGACGAGTTTAACGTCGTCCTTTTAAGAACCAATTTCGACCTGATTAAAATTCACTCCGTCGTTTAGAAGAAATGCACCTCATAATTACCCGGGAACTTACCTTCATGGACAGAACAATGTGCTCGCGGTAGCGATGAGTCTTTAGTTAGGAATAAATATGACAGTTATATTTTCCATTTTTGTTAGCTTATTGTAATGCCAAATTTAAAATGAAACGGAAAATATTCCAAAATATTCTTAGGTGGGTGAATCCTTCAAACTTGTCTATTAAAATGAGTTTATAAGTGAAATATCAAGTAAATATAGGTCATAACAATGAAATCACCACAGTTTGAAAAATCGCATGATAACTGAAGTAAGGGCTGTAACTAAATATTCCAGATAGATTGATTTGGAAGACACTTTTTAAAGTCTGCAATTTCAGAAAGCTTTTTTCACTAACATGCACTTTTCGCAATCTGAGTTTACCACCTGAACGGTTGCAAAACTATCCTAAAATTCAACCTTGACGATTCCAAAATGAAGTCTTTGATAGTGTACATTAAATAGTTAACTTGCTTTTTGCAGGGTACTGTCTCTTTGAATCGCACTGCTCCATGTATTCAATGAGGAATCACAAGCAAAATATAACAATATTGGTTGCAGTGTGGATGGCTTGTAAGTTGAAGTTCGTTTGAAAACTTCATACCAATGTAATATTTAAGACATATGTTTCGTTGATACATGATGTTGTTGCAATAGTTACATCTCTACTTATCCGTTCACATATTTAGGCACCATCGTTGAATCAGTTTCGAGTTCTATCCAATATACACGAGAAACAATGCCCGGTGCGCAATATTACGATGGTAAGAAGTTAAATATCCCAATATCAAAAGAGGCCGGAATTGAACTAATTGAACGATGGACTCATCAGGGGATCAGCAGTATCATGGCTTGTATTGCCACTCAACAGTCAGTTTTTCATATGACCTGCAATCTCATGCAAAGAGGAAATTGTTTCTTCTTGGAAGTTTGAACAATATGAC